TGTGAAATAAACACAATTCTTTATTAATAAAAAAAAAATGTATGACTATCCAGTCACTACATTAAAATTAAATGCACAAAATTTAAGTATGTTTTATGTATTAGAATATAATATATATAAATTGATTTTCTAAAAATTAAATATTTGTATGAATAATGCATAAATACATTTCATGTTTTTTAGTTTTTTTTTTTTTTTTGTCACTCCCATTTTCTATACAGTAGGGTACAGATATAGGGTAGTATATAGTAAGAGGGTAAGGAAGTGATAAATATCAGAAACGTCCGCGAGGGCGTTGCTAGGAGACCCGTGGACTGTCAATCCGTTGCCGGTGGCTTTAGCCTCTGGGATATGTCGTTGTTCACCACCCCTTTCGTTTCAGAATTTTTATATTAAAAATAGAAAAACCGTTTCACACGTTTCTTTGAATAAAACTTACTACTACTACTACTACAGAAAAATTTTAAAAATTCTGTCCTTAGGATCTTTTGTGAAAGTAAGTAGATTTTTTTTACCTATAACCTACTATTGTAATCCCCTACAGCATTACAAAATAAACGGGTTGAATTGTTAACGAGTACAAAAAAACTTTAAGAAATATTTTATATGCTGTATTTGAGATTAAATGATACAGAATTCGATTGAGTGCCTCAGATAAATCGACGATGAAATATTATTTATTTATTTTTGATCATCAGATTTACCTAAACATAGTGAAAAAATATTATAGATTTTTATTTAGAAAATAATACTATTATTCAATATAAAAGTTTTATTTTCGTGTAATATTGATAGTCGAGTAGGGTAAGTAAAGGCAAGAGACAAGAGTCGTTAGTTATATTTCAATGTTCTCGTCGGTGACAATAACCGGTTAATAGTTAATACCGCAATCGATTATGTTAAGTAATCGTCTCATTAGTAAAAAGTTATTGCATTAATGATTATTTAATAAAGTATCAATTATCCATTCATTTATACAGACCACTGTTTATATCATTTCAAATATACACATTCAAGCCGAAACAAATACAGAAGAATAACAGCTAAAGCATTAATTATAATATTCTAACTATTTGTATTCACTCTATTATTTATTTTCAGGGAATTTGTAAATGGTGTATACTTTATTTAAAATGGATTGTTTTTTAATAATTTTATTTTATAAAATTTCCAATTGTAGAAATTGTTTATATACTTCGTCCATAAATTATTTTCTATAGTTCCATTTTACAAATATTTGATAAAAAATTATATTCCTGAATAAAAATTTAAAATAATCGATCAATTTGTTTACTTGGTGAATAAGAATAATAAATTTAATTATTTTATTATTGTATATGCACAAAATAATCATTTATTGCTTAAATAAATAAAAATATTCTTATTTTAAGAAAAATACTGTATAATTTAATGTTAAAATAGTTTTCAAATCTTAAAAGTTCTTTAAAGTTTTATTAAATATTACAACAAAAATAGGTACTCGTGAATCGTGGTTAAACCAACAACTTATGTTCAAATAAGAAGAAGCTGTCTGCCAATGACATGCTTTTAGCCTTTAGGCTGTTATAGTGAATGTCACTTGGGGAGTTTCTTCATAAACAATATAGAATACCTTAACTAATATAGAAGGGTAGACAGTTTCATATACTTAACAATATATATATAAACGTTATACACTCCAGAGTCCAGATATTTATAACAAATAAAATAGTATTGGATTAAAAAATATTGAATATTTGAATGTATATTATCATTAAACCATTGATAATGCTTTTAAAATTATAAAAAAAATGATTTTTCTTCAAATGAATGAGAAATTTATATTGAAGTCAGAAATACTTATTAACCCTCGTGTGTACAAAAATGTAATATATTATATTATATTAGTATACAGTATGGTAATCGTAATCTGTATTTAGGCTGAAAAAACAAACAAACAAAGCTACAATGGCAAACTATTTCCTTTAAAATGGTTACATAATTTATAGTCTATCGAAGAATGATCCTTAAATAAACAATAAAAATCATAAACTATTTGTTGTTTAAGAAATTACTCTATATAATAATTGACAAAAATTCGAAACTTCCTATCATTTCACGCTTAGATATTTAATTTATAAATTAATTTCAATTTTTTTTTTTTTTAAGAATGTTTAACAATAGATAAATAAAATAAAAAAATAAGTTCTTTACTGTATAGTTTAAAAAATACTGTTATATAAATATCTACAATTTACAGATATAATTAATAATTTAATTTTCTTCGAAAATTTAAAATTACTTTAACTTTATAAATGTAATGTTATTCTGCATTTGGTTCACCACATTTATTTCGACCATCTTCCGTCTGTTTACTAACGAGTAAAAAAAAACCTCACATGGTTGTGCAAATTATTATTAATAATTATCCGTTTGTTTCTATTCACCGAGTTTAAAAATCATGTTGGTCTCTAACGACGTCTGTTCTCGAGGATGTCCCGCGACCCCTCCAAGACCTTTTCGCGCTTCCTGTTAGACCCTTTGGCCCTTAACTACCGGACATGTCAAAATGTTAAAAATCTTTCCATGTATGTATGTATATACATAGGAGGATTCTAATATACCTCTACAGTGGGCTCACGCACGTTTGACAAAATGCACATGCGGTACACGTTGATTTAATGTCGACGACGGGAGACCCGAAGGGAGTACACAAAAATAAAATTAAAAAAAATAGAGAAGAAGGAAAACTTAAATATAGGCTACCCTATTAAAAGAGGGACCCTAGCATTAACCTTCTATGCATGTATAAGTACAAACTCTGAATTTACTGTATGCAGGCTGTGACAAAATATCACAGGTTTTAACTAATTAAAAAAAATACTAAGGGTCTTCGGTGATGACTGATGATAAATGTATTGAACTCTAATACAGCAAAAGCTATTTCACCATTATTGTTATACTTCAGTAATCTGTGAAATTAAACAAGATAAATTATTGCTATTTACTGTATTAGTAAATAGTAATAATAGTATAATAGTAATGACTAATAACATCGGAATACCGAATTTAGAATGGTTGAAAATGATTAGCAATAAATCCTAAAATACGTGTTATGGCGAATGGTATAATTTTTAACCAATAACAAATACTATAAAATATAAATATATTTAGAATGTATAATACATTAATACACATAGTGTCGTAAATATTAATGAATTGTTTAATTTTTAAAATATTTCTATATCGTCTTGTATAAAAACGACACTTTCAAGTTACTCGTTCTAATAATAAATATTAGAAGGAGAAATTGTGTTCATGTCGTATATTATTCTTTCCTACGTTCTATTTTCTATTCCAAATGGCAGATTTATAGTGGAGTGAATTACACCATAGTAAAGAAGGTGATCGATTATAATTTATACCAGTTTTTAACTAATATTCAATTTAATATTTATCTGATTAAAATGTTTTAGTATGTAATAATATTTAAATGTTCAAAAAAATGTTTATTTTTATATTTAATTTCTAACCAATAGATACTTATTGTTAATAAATTATCTACTGTAAATATTAATTTTAGATAACCATTTATCAGAATTTATTAAGTATATATCTCGAATAAATTCTTTATACAAAAATATTTTTAATTTCTTTAAAGAATAACTCGCATAAATATTAGTATAATTGTTAAGAACTTTTAGCTTCTATTAACTTTTTAATTTTTATGCAGTAGGGAGGTAGATAATATATTATTTTAAAATTATTGATATGAGTGACTAGTTAGGTATTACTTTTAACAAATATTTACAAAGATAAAGGATTACTAATTTTAGCTTTTTTTTGGCTAAACATAAACGTCATAAACATAAATATAAACATAATATAATATAATGTACCTATTATTTATATAACTTTTTGCCTATTATTATTGAGGTTGATGTAAGTTATAAGTTATAAGTTAATGATTTATAAATAAAAATCATAATTTTATTATTGTTTTCAACTTTAAAATTTTAATTGCGTTGTATTAAATTATGCGATATAATACCTACTATTTTTATTTTTATCACAATTGTTTGATATTGTATATTTGAGATGCAAATATACTTTACAAGAGTAAATTTTAACAATTGAAGGGTTCAGTGCAACAACCAGACAAGTCACATTTTTTAAATTTTACAGGAGAGGCTTATAACAAGTTTTGTTACATTTAAAACAGAGATATTAAAAACATTTCAAAAAAATTGTAAAGTTAAAGTGTTGGTCTATATCAATATATTATTTTTAAGTTTTAGCTTTGATTAGTTTTTTTTATAATATTTTCTTAAGTTGAAGTGGGCATGGACTTATCTGGTTGTTACACCAAACGGAGTCAAATTAAATAATATACCCATACAGTTTAAGTGATTAACAGAAAAGTTTAAAATATTAAGGGCTCACTATAACTTTAAAAGTTGTAAATATGTATCACAATGGAACTTCAGCCATAACTTAGGCACTGGGTAACAAAGCTGAATAAGATAACCATAAAAACATTTTTTTTTAAAAAATTTTTCTGTAAATTGCATACTTTTTGTTCATAGTATAATCGGCTCTAATTTATTAATCTTAGGGGGGGAGCAAAAATTAACTTTTTAAACAAATTGAACAGTTTACATTCTCAATATTTTTCTACTGACTGTTTGTGCACCTCTAAATGCCACTTATGCACAGAAAATAGAACACTGTAAAAAAAAAAATGAGTAAAACTTTCCTAAAAAACTGTTAATTAATATAAAATGCAATGTTATCAGTATTATAGTTATTCTAATAGTACAAAACTTCACTTAGGTACCTATATAATAAAACAAATCAAACAATAAAATAAAATAATTTCAGTGTTTTGAAACAAAATAATAAAATAATCACATTATAAGTTACTTTACTTATGTAATAAAATAAATCAACTAATAAAATAAAATTATTTCAGTCCAAACAGAGTTAAAAAACAACATAATTAAGTTATAAACTATAAGTTATTAATCTTCATAATCGGACAGACATGGAACATCATTATTTTCAACATAATTTTCTTCAAATTGATTGTAAAACCATAGGTATTCTGGTGGTACATATTTGGCTGCCAAGTCTTGTACATCTAACAGTTTTGCCCTTTTAATTTGTAGGGGTTTAGAGTATAATGTAGGAAGATTCTCCATCGGATATTTAAAGTTATTGACTACAGATTTATGAAGTATAAAATGGTCAGTGCTTGTAGAGTGTGGGATTGTGGTACAGAATAATCCTTCTTTTTTATATTCTATTTGTCGATATGCCATAATAGTGAACTTAGCTTTACTCGAGTTGGTGATGCATTTTTTAAAATAAGGTTTCAAATACTCTGAAAAGTTGTAAATAAATCGTTGAGTTACGTTAATAACATTAAACCGTCTGACACAGGTGTTTTTCACCATTTCTTGGTATGTGCTTGGAATATATACTCGTTCAATTTTTCTTTTTTGTTGTTCAATTAAACCAAAACAGCGGTCACAGGGTAAGAAGCTGTGGCCAGGCTCCGGATATCGTTGAATAATTTGTTTTAAGCCAAATGCTTCAGATTGAATGATAGTATATAAATAATAAATTAAAGCAGTGTTTTTATTTTGGGAACTACAATTATCTGCAAATAGATATAAAGTTTGAATACCTTGGTGTAGTAGATTTTCCAAGTAATAATTTAAGAAACTAATCACTTCATTCTGACCTTTTTTTTCCTACAGATTCATCGTACATAAAAAAATATGATTGACCTGTTTTTCCTGAGTAGATGCAAAAGTTGTAACTCCATACTTGTCTTTTATAAAAAACATCACCGGATGGTATGTGAGGCAGAGGCATGTTCTGTTGGTAGTCGAATGAAAGAACCTCAAGAGTAGGATTTGTTTTGGCCTCTTTAGACATATTCTTCAGATCAGAATAAAAAATCCCAGCCTTTTCTATGTGTATCTTTTTTTCATCTAATAGATTTGCTTTAATTAAATCATTTTTTTCAGCATTTATTAAATTTTGTAGTCTGTCACATGTTTGACATGTGTCTGACTTTGGGGAGGCAAATGATAAGTTAAAATTCTTATTGAAATATTGCCAGTAAAAATCATATTTAACTTTAGGTTTACATTTTTCACCTTTACTTTGTCTTTCTAAAAAATCATGTTCATATTTCTTTAAATACATTTGATATATTTTTTTTACACTCAATTCAGGTGATAAATATCTTTTTTCGCTATTGTCCATTCGACTATAATGAGATACACATCTGGGAAAACTGTTTATATGAGATTTTATTTGAAACACAATTTGATCACATATTTTATTGGGTCGATTCAAAGTTTGTTTTCCTCTCTTATCTGTTGGGCTTGGAATGTTCAATTTAATATTAGAAATAATTCTCTCAACGATTGATTTTCCTACTCCAAATAATGAGCAGAAAGCTTGTTTACATACTGCAGTTTCATTAGTTCCATCAATTCTAATTTTATAGATACAAGAACAAGATCTATTTCCTCTTTGATTATTTCTAGGTCTATGCCTAGACACATCCTTTAAAGAAATAAGACCTCCCAAAAAAGTATCCTGTTTTTCTTTATCCCCAATAGCATTAAAAATATTTATTAAACTGCCTTTTTCATCATCAGTAAATTTTTCAAAACACTCCAATTTACATTTACAATTAGGACCAGTTACGTTTTAAATATTTTAAATATTTTATTAACGTTTTAAACGTCTAGTTACTAGTATATATTTCACATTTGCGATAACATTTTGTAAGACGTACACGTAAAGTTAAATTAAATCGGGAATAACAGTAATATAACCGCCAATAAAATCAAGTCTGATATAAAATAAATAAACGTAATATTATTATAGTGAAAATACAGTGTGATCATATTTGGGGAAAAAACCAGATAAGTCCGGACTTATCTGGTTTTCATCCCAAACTAACCAAATAAGATAAGTCCATTATCATTATAACTCAATGAATAATAATCGGACATAATTGTTTGTTGTACCAATAGATAGAGCAATTTCTTATCTATAATCTCTGATAGATAATTTGATTTTCAAAAAAATGTGACTTATCTGGTTGTTGCACTGAACCCTTCAATTATGGTATTTTAATATTTTATTAACCCATAGCTAAATTTGAACATTAATAGATTTATATATAATTTTGTACCTACCTATAATCGTTTGGTGAATAATCTATATTTATAATTTTCATTGTTTTAGATTATTTTTAAAAGATAAAAGTACAAGGTATATCTAATTTCAATTAAAAAATCAGATGTTTAAATATTTTATGTAGGCGCAATGTTATCTTTTATAATTTAATTCTAAAACCTGTGTTACATTTTATAAGAAGTCAACTGTTAACAAATATCAATAATTCAAAAACGAGTCAAGTTAGATACAATTATCTAATTCGGTTATAATTATAAAAAATATTATTTTTAACAATTCTAATAAACATATTTATTAAATTATTAAACGAGACAAATGGATAATATAGACCACGGTATACAATATTACATATTATTATATGTATAATATACTTGTGTATAGTTTGGTATTTAAGATGATTAAATTCGTGTTAATTTATTACAAAACAAAGATAGCTCTAAACGTACGAGTGATTAGATTGTTTCCATTTCATAATTATTGAAGTTTTATTATTTATAGATATAAAATTAAAATGATCAAAATTATTAAAATATAATTATAATAACAATAATATATATAAAACACATATATACATGTTTATATATATACATATAAACATAATTATTGAAAATGCCCGCCAATTGTATTTAATAGAATCACTTATGACATTTACGATCACGAGATATTATAAACAAAACCAAGGACGATTGAACAAAGTTAAATCTGCAGGTCTGCGCGTACGACTTGTACGGCTGCAGCAATATACCTGACCCGTATGTCAATACCCACTCCATGCCAATAGAGGATCGTGTTATGTATAAATAAATAAATGTTTATTATTTAGTTTTTGTACACACAAGACGTATACAACCTCACGCGTACTGTAGATTGTAGTAGTGGACCGGCCGCCGGCGCAGCAATATAGCGTACAACTACTAACCGAAACGCGGAAGTTGTGTAAAGGCGGCGGTTGGTGGGGCCGGTGCGAGAGGGTTCGGCGGTGCGGATTGTAAGGCGGCTAGCTACTTGCAAAATATTGACAAGCCGAGATGTGTGTGGTCCCGTAAAACCATTCATAACGTTATTTCCGTGTTTTTACCAGAAACATTGCGGGACTTTAATTCCTCTGGGGTCGGTGGAATGGAAGGGAGTTGTTTTTAAGGGAATTGATTTTTGGGGGGTGAGTGGCGGTAGACTTGACCGGACTAAGAAGCGGGAGGGAGATGCGCCGGAGAATTGATTGGATTTGGTCAGCTCCTTTTTTTTTCCCCTTTTCTCTCTATTTTTTTTTCTACTGCTTTCCCCGCACACGCACACACATACACGCGACCGTTTCTTTTTCAGCTCGAGAAAACCCGGGGAATTCGGACAATACATAAAACATATACACGCACGCACTGCCGTAGCCGTCCACCGTTCCTGCAATCAGCTTTCTGGAGAATTAATGGTGTGTAGTACGTATACATATACTGCGCGTATAACGAAGTGGGTTTTTTTCCTTCCAACTCCCCGGGGGAGAGAACCGCCGTGTACGGTTTGTATCAATGTGTGTGTCTGTGAGTGTGTGTGTATGTGGGGGGGGGGATGTGATGAATTCACATATTAGGAAAGTACTATAGTATAAAAAATATATATCATATTATACTTGGAATATTTAATAATAATTCTGTATCGACGTATTGCTGTGCGTAAAACACAATAATATAGAATGAATAAAAAATCAGTTGACGACAAACGTAGAAAATAGTTATAGATATACACAACTATTATTACAGTATACCAGCTCGTCCACATGGAAAAATACGTTATTATATGATGTTTAATATTAACCGTATCATTGTATCTGCGGTACTAATTGACAATAGTATCTACGTTATTTTTTGTCTAATTGAATATATTTTAATAACGAGTAAATAAACCTAAAAATATATTCGAATTCAATGCCCGAGTTCTCGTTAAATTTTATCAAACCACTATCTACGCCTTTTTCTTTTTATGCGTTTGCATATTATTGTATAGTTATATGCAAATTATAGACTAGTTACTAGTGGTTCCCAACCTGAGGTATCTCAACGAGAACGTGAAAAGAAATTGAGTAGCGACGGAAAATGTTTAATATGTGTTATTAAAAATAAAATTTTGTGTCACAAATTAAAACTTAACCGTCAACTTATCTAATAGATAAAGGAGTATAGAATGTAACACAAAATTTTTTGTTTAATTATTTATTTAAATATTTTAAAAGTAGTTAGGTATGTGAAAAAGCAGAAAAAGTTTAAAAATTATAATGAGGAATACAATCTAGCGAAATATTTAACTTGGGGGTACGGAACAAAAAAAAGTTGAAAACCGCTGGTCTAGTATGAAAATTTACACTGGAAACGCAGTTTTTAAATCATTGATGAGCTACACTCTATATAATTGTTCTCGTTTCGAGCACTAACCATAATACACGCTTAACCCGGTTAACCTATACAATCCACATTATAACTTCCGTCGACGATTACCTGTATTAATGACGCGTATTAAAACATTTCAAAGCAACAATTACCTATTCGTTGGATTCTATCTTACATTACGAGATACATGACATTTTCAATCGTTCGAGTAAATAAATACGAGTAATAACTATTAGTGACGTTTCGATACGTTGCAAATAAAAAAAAACTCAATATTTTAATACCTCTTGGTATTAAAATATATACTTTTGCTATTTATTTTTTGCTATTTACCTGTGATTTTCGTAGACCGTGCAAACCAGTGCTCTCGCCATTCCCAAAAAGTTGCGTACGTGGTGGGGAGGTGGCTTACTTCATTCCTTGACGGTATTATTATTTATTATCTTTTGCTTCATATTTATCAAGCTTAAACTGCAGTAAACTAGTAAGCGAGTATGTGTTTAGTTTGGCTGTAGTCAACGCAAATAAAAAAGATTAATTATTAAGAGCAGAAGTTGAAGTCCCACGAACATTTTCAAATATCTACTTACTATATCATCTGAACCAAGGGTTGGTAACCTTTTTGGTTTCGAGGGCCAAAAAATAATAAAAAAAATTTTGACGGGCCATACACCTTATTTTATTTAGGTACATTTTACAATTTAAATTTTAAACAAAATTTAATTTAATTTATTTAAGTTTCATTAAGTTTCATCACTGTTTAATACCAATATTAATTTAACGTGGTATATATCAACAAAGTTAGGTTATCAACTAATATAATGTGATATTCCATGTTTTTATGCCAATTTTAAATTGTAATGATTGCAGGTCGCATAAAATCGATACACGAACCGCAAGTTGCCGACCCAGCTGATCTAAACGTCTGCAGTTATTAGAAGGAATAAATCCAAAATCAAATTTGTGTTTTTTGTTGACCGCATTATTTTCGTGATTACCTAAACGTTAGAGCTTTTTTGTTTTCCACATATTTTTATATTTCACGTTTCATATAAGCAATAGAATAACTACGAAAGCACCCACTTCATTTTTACAAAATATCTAGTCTCGTGAGTCTTGACAACCGCGAGTAATTATTTTTTTTTAATCTTTACCCTTCCGTCCATTGAAAAATAATGCGTATGCGGTACGCCAACGCCTCCGGACCTATGTAGATATTTAAAAACACACGCGATACATATGCGCGTATTGAACACAGACACACAGTACGATTGATGCAGTCACGTGAACATTCACAGTACCTAAAGAGTATTTAACGCGGTGTTAAAAAATCTAAGCGGTCATACTGTCCAGGAACTCAGCGAATTAGTCCTAACTCTCCTTAGGGATGCGTCGTGTAAGTGCCACTCTCGTCCTGACTCCCGAGTATTAATAGGTTTATGCTATAGCTATAGGTGCATAATATTCGATTTTAAATTAAAAGTAGGTTTGATATATAAGTACGTAATTCGTGACGCGCGCCCAAGACTTTTGAGTTAGTAATAATTGTCGCGTTCAATTCTGCAAGTTATATTTCACAACAAAACACGTAGACTGTGAAATAGTTATTAGTGATCGTCAATCGATGTCGAAAATCTAAATAATAGAAACATTCAAATAGCCGCGGAAGATGGATAAGCCCAACATTATTCGCCGTTTGTTAAATATACACATACGTGTAAAATGCGGTATACTGCGTATGCAATTTTAAGAACATTTTAAAAATTAAAATGTCGCGATGAATGATGAACATAAGACAATATTGATGCATTGATTATTATTGCAGATGTTGCGGGTACATAAGACACAGAAATGTAGCAAAGAAACATGGCTTTTATTTGGAAAGTCGATTTTAAAATTTCCATCACAAAATACCTCCTATACCTATGTAAATGTTTTTAGCACAAAATTATCCACATAATTATAATTAAATCTATGTTCTTTACTATTTCTGGTTGTTTAGAAATATTGATTATTATGTAGTGTGTATATTGTGTATAATCAATGCTCAAATTGGTAAATTAAAAGAAAGGGAACTCAAATAGAAATTAAAAAAACAACGTTCCAACTGAACGTTTATTCAACGCTAACCTATGGGGGCTTCGCTCCCACACCCCTTTAATTACTACTATCATATTTTAAATTAAATAAATCCTAATGTATATTATTTTTGACAAGTGTTAATATATTTACACTTTTAATCACTTCAAACTTTAAATTTTTCTCCTAGTTGTATTGAATAAAAAAAAAAAATATTATAAATAAGAAATTCAATTAAAAAACGTATAGGTATAATATAAAAAAAATAAAATAAATAAAAACATTTCATTTTCATTAATATTTTATATTGCTCGATTGCGTGTCCATGCGTTCGTTTTTTTAGGAAAATTTAGTATGGGAACGCTAATTAATATCAAAAGCTTAGTTTCTATGCATTTCCTCCCAATTTGAGCACTTTGTATAATAAAATAAAATATTTAATTTTGTTTGTATTTATTTATTTTAACGAATTGTTGGCTGATGGTGGTTGACAACGACCCGTCAGGCCGTCAACGGAAAATTTCACCGAAATGATGAGTACTTACAGATGGCCATCGGACAAAATAAGAACGATAAAAAGTCTGTTGTACTCGAGTACTCGACAATATCCCAGATGCCATTTTAACTTGATATATTTTCAAAATTAAGTATAAGTTGGTCCAACGAAAAACCACAGATACGGATTTTTGAAATATTTCGTGCAATTTGTAATGGTCAATAGTATTAACTTATTATTATTATTGGGTGTAGGTAAATCTTGTTTAGAAATCTGTTTCTCAAGCAAAGATAAAATTGCAGGCGAAGTAAGTGCATAGTCAATTAAATAAACGTCTATCGGATATTATTTATTGTCTATTATCGAATATTATTAGATAAGACATACTTGGTGTTAAGGTAAATAACTAATAACTTATAATAAAAGTATTACCACATTGGTACTATGTCTGTAACCTATAATATAACTTATAAGTATAAAGTAGCCAGTAGGTAGGTACCTAATAGTAATTTGATCATCAATCATCATGATTCATATTACTGAAATATCAAAATAATAATTTTTCGCCGTCACTGTTTTAGATGATAAATTCCTGTAAATTAACTTAAAGTTTTATAGAATATTAAAATAATTTTCAGTTTCATCTACACTGACATACCTACTTGATATTTTTAAATAGACACTCCTCAAAAATATGTATATTAATATATTGTGATTTGAAATATAGTTTTTTTAGAATTCATCAGTCCTTTATACAGGTAACAGGTATTGCTACAATTATAATATTTAGCTATTTCATTAACAAATCTTTTAAGTAAATTATCAAGAAAAGGTACAGAGGATACGTGTTATTAGACCAAAGGATTGAAGTAGATGTTTAGATTTTTATAAAATTTCTCATATAATGAATTTTGGCCAGTTAGTTGAGTCTAAAGTAGTCAAGATCTTTATGCATGTGTTAAGTTAAAAATATAACTCATATACATTAATTAGCAAGTACTGATTACTTTTCAACTAATGACTAAGTTATAGGTTGTTGATAATTAAAATACAATTTTAAAATGTCATGACTATTTTAATTTACTTATACAATTAAGTAGAAATACAGACATAAAAATAATTGATAATGGAAATTTAATTTTTAAAGTAAGGAGATCCATAGTATCGTTAATGAGATAAAACTTAAAATTATGATATTTTTTGACTAGTAAAGTCAATTAAAATTAAAAATTAAATAATTTAGGTTAATTAATTAATTAATTAATATATTAAGAATAGAAATGTTAAGGGTCGTCCTCACTGATTAAACTGTCAGTATCTACAGATGACCCATCCATACTTCTGGGTAATGCAATTCTAGCATAATCATCAGTGTCAATTGATTTACAAAAATGAATAGCATACTTAAGTTTTTCATTCATTACATCCTGCAATTCAGTAAAAAAATATTATTGTATAAGTAATTTTTCATACCATCAAATAATAAATATAATTACTTTATTACTGTAGCGAGGGATTTTCAAAAGAAAAAAACATGTGTAGCTTTCAGGCAAAAAATTATCTGCCGGTGAATAACGATCAATAACCTACAACGAAAATATAATTCAAAGTAAAAAAAAAAAGTAGACATATAATAATAAATATAATCTACTGACATGTAAAACAAAATCTCTGCCACGAAAATCCTCAATAGTTCTTGGTAGTCTTGTACGCCCCCAAACAAATCGTAAAAACAATGACCGCTCTTGATTAGTAAATTCACTCAAAATTTCCCAAAACCACTGAACTAGCTTATCATGAGCTTCAACGCCTATTTTAAAAATAATTAGTTAAATTAAAATTTGATTACGTTATTAGCTGTCATTATAATATACCTTTATATGTAACAATACTGAGTAGCATATTTATTGGTATTTCTGGTGATCCGCAAACCATGGCTTCTAATTCATTGCTTGTGAATATAGATAATAATGGTACAGGTATAACTCTAGCCATACCCACTTGAACGTTTTTTACTTGTTCATTAAACTCATTTAGCCTATATAAATATATGTAAAGTTAAAAATTATTTTTTTAAAGTCATTATAAATAATTACTACCTAAAGTTTAAACAGGCTTGTATGTATTCATGTTTATTATGCAATGTAACATGTTTATGTTGATTGCTTAAAACAACTGTATGTCCTGTGGAGGATGTAGTACAAAATGATAAATCAAGACTTGTGAATTCATCTTCTCTTTCTAAGTCTCGGACATATAGCAATCCTATAGGGCGTACAATTTATAATTATTATTTATTAATTATTACTATTAAAATTAATATTGCATAAAAAATATTTAATTACCAGGAACATAATCTTTATCAATCTCAATCAAATCAGTAGGCATAAGCTTCATACCACACAATAATTTCCACATAGGTTCAGCAAGATTTAAACTTAATGGACTACAGGTTCGTACTGCTATTCCAATTAATATACCTGTTCATAAATATAATTAATATTAATAAATTAAAATAAAACAAGAAACTAATTTTACTATATCTATAATTATTTTATTATTTATCATAATAATAGATACAGTGCATTAATGCATACACAAATCAACTGAAATATACATTAATAAGAAAAATTACAATAATTGTATGAACTATTATTTTATTTTGTATGTAAAAATATCATTAAAAAAAAAATATTTTTTTTTTAAATATTGATTATTATTAGTAACATAAATTAAATATTAATTACTAAAATTTAATTCTTACCAAGAAATTCAAACATTTTCATATGAACTTTGGTTGTAGCCGATGGATTTAGTATGAAACAATCTCGACTTGTCCCAGTATCTTCACGACCATTTGGTGTTTGTATTAATATTGGTAAAGATCCATTTTGTAGCTCTTCACACATTTCAGCAATGCTTTCACTATATCCACCACCATAATCATCTACACTCTCACCTATAAATATATATGAGTTAAAATTATTTTTTTATAATCTTCTAGTAACTAATGTTTGTTAGTAATCTAAAAATAAATATTAATTAGTATTCATAAATATTCTAAACTGACCAACAAATTGTACTTTCCATACACGATGATACAAAAATAAAGAATCTTCATCTAGAAAGTCCATATTATTCACCATTTGTCCAAATACTGTATGTATATAATCATTGAATATTGATTTTCGTGTTCTAATTCTATTTAATTCGAACATTGGTCCATGTCGTTGTTCTCTAATCATTGATAATTGAAGTACCTAAACACAAGTTAAAAATATTATCATTTCTATACTTTTTATAAAAGCTACTGTAATATTTTTCATACTTTTTTAAATATGCTTTCTTTCACTGAATAAACCATGTATGGTCGTATTGCATCTAAACTAATTTCTCCATGTATTGGCATAAATAATAATGCAGTTTGATTGATTATGATTGAAAAATGATGCAAAAATAGTAATCGATTTCTTAATTCTTGTACGCTGAATTCTTGTAATATATCATATTCTAGTGGTATTGTAGTTGGAGTTGAGTTATCTGTATGATAAGCTTCTTCACTAGCCCATGCAAATGAATGAGCAGATCCACAACTCACTTGTTGAATGCGTTTTCCCTAAGATATTTAAAATATAAAATGTTAATTAATAATGTATTACTCTTTATATTATTAATGCAATGATACACGTGATTTTAAACAGGAGTAATGATGACAAAATTGTACATATTTAGTCAAATTTTAGTTCACCTTAAGAGCTGCAATAGGACGGGGTCTTGCAATTGGGTGTGCAGTACCATCACCCAGTTGACCCTCATCATTATCTCCCCAAGCATATACTTCTCCATCATCAGTCAATGCTAGTACATGAAGTGATCCTAAATAATATAGTAAATTATATTTATGAGTTTTTGATAAAATACAACTTGTTCATACCTGTGGAAAACTGAACAATTTTTTTGCCCTGTAGTCCACTAACTATTTTTGGCTTACGTACATGATCACTAAATCCATGGCCAAGTCTAAAATAATCTCCTTTACCCCTAAAAATAAAAATAAAGTTTTATAAATAATAATAAAAGTTTTAATTATTTACCAAGTGTATAGTGTTCCATTTGACGACAATGCAACTGAGAACTGTGATCCACAATCAATTTGAATAATCCCTTTGCCCGAAAGTGATTCAATTTTACAAGGTAACTAATACATATAAATATTAATGATAAATTATTATTATTATTTATTAGTATTTATCAGTATTTTTAGTTTTGATTGTACCTACTTTACATGATTCTGAAATATTGTGTCCAAGTTTTCCATAATCTCCATCACCCCATGACCAAACATTGTCATCTGAAGTGATACACATTGTTTGGGCATCTCCACTGCCACAAGCAACTTTTACAACAGGAACTTTTGCTAAACTTTGAACCTGAAAAGACAATATTACGCAACAATTTCATTTTTTATGGATATTTATATTTCAGTTACTTTACTATGTAATATTATTACTATATTACTATTAAACTGATGCTATAAACAGTATAAACCAATAGTTATAGTAAATAGTTTACCATTTTTGGGTATAAATAATCTTCATAATCGCCATGACCTAAACGTCCATAACGACCTTTTCCCCAAGTATATAAATGACCATAACGAGAAATTGCAGCAGAATGGAAACCACCACAAGCAATATCAATAATATTTTTACCATTTAAAGTTTGTATTAATTGAGGTTTTGCATATGAACTGTAAAATTGTTAATAATTATGTTATTGATAAAAAAGTGAAATTATTATGTCAAATTGAATTCACTTACATTCTATTTCCAAGCCCTAGTTTGCCATCATCTCCATCTCCCCAAGCATAAACTTCCCCAGTATTTGATAAAGCTAAACAATGACGACCCCCTGAATTGACAGCCACCTTAGCAAAATTAATTATAAATTGTATATAACTAAACAATGTTTTAAAAAAATAATAATAATAATAATAATACCTTAATTATGCTATTAAGGCCTTGGATAAGTTGAGGAGTAACTACAAAAGGAGTTCTTGGATTATATGGACCGATACCAAGACGTCCACTTTCAGTATATCCTGTAAGTACAAATATATTTATAAGCTATTATGCTGATATGTATATTATTTAATTAATGCAGTCATATTATTTATTTAAATACCTGAAGCATATACTTTCCCATATGAAGTAACAGCAAACATAGTTTGTTCTCCTCCAATAACCTGAATGGGCTTCAAAATAGACAAAGAATCACATGACAATGGTTTTTTAATTTGATTAGAATCCATACATGCCAGTTGACCCCTATGATTGTGACCCCAAACATATACTACTTGACCATTTCCTCCCCAAGTCATATTCCAATCATCAGGTTTACTTAAAAAAAGAAGAATAGAAACATAGTTTTTGTATTTCATAAGATAAATTATAATTATCAAATAATATTATATTTATGTAAACTACCTATTCAACCACTGTAACAGTTGTTCATCATGCTCTTTTGTGAATTTCAAGTTGTCGATAAATATATGTTCACCATCTTTATCATAACTATTATCAATGCATTTTATTTTTTTGTGCACTTGATTAATAAATTCTTCAGGCATCTGTTCTCGATTGATCAAAGCCTTAGCTACATCAGTACCAAAACAGTAATCTACAAACCAAGAGGCATCAAAACGCCAGCAACGTAAACTATTGTTTAACCATTTCATCATATACACTAAAGACTATCAAAAAATAAAAATAAAACATATTATACTAATATTAATCAAGTTTTATTTTAGACTAGGTGGTAAAATAAATACTTTTAAATATTCAGAATAACAAAGTTGTCTTCCACATAATACAGCTATTTCTTCATATTCAAACTGCTTAAACATTAAATGTTCAGTACGGAGTAGTACATCAGATACACCACTGTTTAAAAATGGCAAAATAAATAATTCACTAGCTACATCTTGGTCGCGTTTAAACATCATACTAAGAATTTTAATACACCAAATTCTTTCTTCGAGGGCTATTCCATAATGTTTTAAATATTAATAAGGATAATTTAATTTTAAGCAAAATATTTTTCATACTTAATGCAGTTAAATGTAATGTCAACATTAATGTAGCAGTAAGTCGTTTATCAACTGATGGATTGTTTTGTCGTTTTAGACATTCTTGTAATAAATTACGGACAACTGGTAAACATGGTCTTGAAAGTATTTCACGATCAGTACCACTTTGTCTTGTTAAATGCATAATTGGATACACAACAAAACGCCAGCCCCAACCATTTGAAGATTTGTCACTTATAAATTTCCAATGCAGTTCATTACCTAAAAATTAAATAAATATATAATATATTCAATATTTATGATTAAATATTAAATTATGAATAAAAATTAGTAACGTTGAATGAATAATGGTGTTGTCCATTCTGTATCTTTTCCTGATCGAACACTGATGACATTTTCAGCACCATCCATTAATGTTAATGTGTCTTTGAGTTTTTCAGTTGAACAGTTTTGGTTAAAATCAATATATAAAGCAATTGCACCTAATAATAAAATATTTTTCTTCTAGAATATTTTTAAAATAAATTTTCTAAATAAAAAATATTAATTTATTGAAATACCAGGTATAGCTACATATCCAGATAGGCAGGAATCATCTTGATAAGGATGAGAACTCTCCTGAACTGCATGTTTTGAAGGCGGTGACACTATAAATGAACAGTGTGTGTAAATAGTTTCCATCTCTGACACACAATATTCCATTAATAGTTTTATATGTTTGTTAGTATATATAAATGCTGCAAAATGAATGATATTATGTATATTATTATTCAGTTAATATTTGTTATACATTATGGAAAAGATTATTGTTCTTACACATAAATAAATTTATTAAAACAGACTCTGCAGTTGGGCCAAGCCTATAAACAGATGCTAATTTTGCTAAGTCCAATAATAGTCTGACGGTTTTTTCATCAAATGTACTTACAAAACTATCAATTGTTTTATTGGCAAGCAATGATGTGTAATTTAATCCAATAACCTGTAAAATATGTTTAAGTATTAGCTTATATTTTTTAACAATAACTAAAACAATCATTTACTTGATTTTTTGATTTTATAGTAGCAGCAACAATTGACATAGTGTTGGTTGCCTTTGAAGACAATGTACTTGCTGATGTGGTAAGAGAGGTTGGAATATGTAATGAATTTTCTATACTGTCTGGGGTTACCACATTACTCTAAAATGTTAAACAGAAATAAAAATGTTGTAATTTAAAATGCCAAATATATTTACGCACTAAATATGAGAGATTTACATCTAAAACTGGAGCAGGTGCTTCGCCACCTCCTTGATCTGATTGAATTATTTCATGATTTATGTTTACATCTAAAAATATATGAAAATGAATTAAAAATTTTTGGAAAACTTATTAACAAATACAATTTTACCATCGTCAGTAGGTGATATAAGAGCAGCGAGTACAATTTCTCGAGCTAAAGTAATTCGTAAAGCATTTAAGACATGTTGAAGAGCATTTTGCTTCGCAGCAGCTGAATCTAATGATAATATGGTTCTTGATAAAGAATCCTTTTCAGAATTATTTTGATCTTCTTCAATTTTCATTTTGGTATCAACATTTTCATCTAATATTGAATTGTTTTGAATATTTAATAATATATATTAATATTAAGATAAATATTAAATATATACTTAAAAATGTAGCTCCCATTGAATCTTTTATTCGAGCAAATTGCACATTTTCATGAGACATTAGTATTGGCAATACAGGGCATTTCCAGGCAATAGATTGGGAAGAACCACAAGCGACACGATTTATTTTTATATTATTGAAATTAGCAACCAATTTAGGTTCTTGGTTAGAATTTGTTGTACCATTACCTTGTTGACCATGATCATTATCACCCCAACAATAGATCTAAAATTATACTTAATGAAATTAAAAACTAGAAAATGTTATAAATAAATATCATAAAAAATTAAAAATTAAAATAAAATTGTAAACAAAAATATTTAAACTTAAGTACAACTTACATCTCCTTGTGCAGATACAGCAATACAATGTAATGTACCAACAGCAATATGTACAATTTTAACTAATTTCAGTTGATTAACTAGAGTTGGTCTTCTTACATGGTCATCTCTACCCAGTCCTAATCTGTAGAACTCACCTTTACCCCAAGTCCACACCTTACAAAAATTAAATTATAAATATTTAAAAATATGAGAAAAAATATTACTAAGCATTTTTTACTTGGCCGGTTGAAGTTAATGCAACAGAAAATTGGGCACCACATCTTATTTGTACGACTCTGTGTCCATCCAATCTTTCTATTTGTTTCGGAGTACAACAACCATCACTGCCACCTCTACCAAGTTTACCAAAATCTCCATCACCCCATGAATAAACATTACCTGCACCATCTAAGGCAAGAGTTTGAGCATCTCGACTCCCACATGCCACTTGTATAATATTTTTTCCAATAAGCTCTTTGACCTGTGATGGATAAAGAAATTTATTACATCATATTTAATGTTAAAAATTATTAACATAAACTGGGACTATAGCTAAGCACTAAAATTAGTCCTCATGCCAGAGGTGTATATTACCAGACAAAGTTTGAGAATAAAAAAAAAGAATATAGATTTAAGTACTTAATAAGTATATTATATTTAGATACGCAAAATATTTTTTATTGATACAAAGTTATGAATCAAAACTAATAACAATTTAAATGAAAATAATAATGCAAGAATTGAATTAAAACAAATTGTTATTATTTGATTGTAATTAATTAATTTTGATAGGTACAGTTACTATAGAAAAAAATATGATAAATGGTTTGATAAAATATATTGGAAAAATAAGAAAAAACGACATAATAATGTATTAAACATAGAAAAATATATAATAAAAATAAACAAAAAATTCCATTAAAGTTTTAAGAAACTGTCAATTGTGATTTTGAATTAGTTATTGAAATAATAGTAATAAGTTCTAAGAATATAATCGATAGACTTAATTTTATCAAATTTATAACAGAGATTTTATAGAATGTTAAAAATATTGGATCAATCATCAAATGTAGAGTAAATGATTTGGCACTGAAGTATGACAGCGAAATTCTTGGAAATTTAAAAACAGCTTATTTCAAGTAATGTTATTAAAGATTTAATTTCAGTTTTTTTCTAATATTACATTTCATTACACTCATCAGGATTACTATCCAAATATTTAAATATAGCAATATCACGTAAAATATTTTTGATCAAACCAATAACCATATCTTTAATAAGTTTAAGATTTTTAACTATCTATGATCTACAGTAGACCAAAATTGATAATTTTGATCTTATTCATCTAGAAAGATTTTATTTATTAACTATTTGACAATATAAGGGGGGGGGGGAGTAAATAAAATTAATTTAATTTATTGTCAGAGTAGTATAGGTTCTTGCTATATCCCTGGATAATTAATAAAAATGTTATAACTTACAAGTTTTGGAGTGAATTGAGAGACTTCATCACCGTGTCCTAATCGACCATATTGCCCTTGACCCCAAGTATATAGTTCTCCTTCAGAGGTAATTGCAGCACTATGAGCACCACCACAAGCTATATAAAATATTCTTTTGTCCAACAACGAATCAATTAATTTTGGTGTGTCCAAAGTAAGAGTGTCACCATGGCCGAGTTTACCGTCTTCACCATCACCCCAAGATAAAATCTGCATAATATAAATAAAAATTATGTATCAGTAAGTCTTAAATATTAAAAATTAATTGACAAAGAAAATTCTTTAACAAATATGAATATATGAACAAATATGGTCCAAATTCAAGCGTTCAAGAAATTATTTATGAAATATATCAGTAATACATGTCAAATTTTCAATAGAGGAATTACTTTTAATTATATTTCCATCATTGATAATTTCCATAGAAATAATTAAAAAAAACCTATGAGCAAAACAATAAAAAATTACTTTTCCATCTAATGATAATGCTATTGCATGTTTTCCACCAGAATGCACAGCTACATTCATGATAACAAATTGGCTGAGACCTGGTATTTGCCGAGGTGTACAAACTTTACCACAGAATGGTATACCTAGTCGACCGCCACTGCTATCTCCACACACAAATACCTAAATTAACAATTCTGATAAATAAATCAATATTGAAAAAAATAATTTTAGATTTAGTTAATGTACCTTTCCCTCGTTTGAAACAATAAATAATGATTTTGATCCTCCAACAATATCAATTGGCTTAAGAGCAGTTAATGCTTCATTAAAAGTAGGTTTTTTTATTTTAGATCCATTCAATCCTCCTAGTTGTCCCTTATCATTTAAACCCCAAACATAAACAGCATATTCAGAATCAACTTTGATTTTTGATTCTACTTCTGGCTGAGGTGGAAACTCCTAAATATATATGTGATAATATAATATTAGAAACAAATAATAAATAAGTAAAGATGAAAATATTCATAATTTATTATTAAATTTATTAATAGCAAGATTATTGTTTACTTGTACAGCATCAAATTGAGGTGTTAATGAGTTAGGTACAAATTCTTGATTAATTCTCATCACAACAATTTTCAATCCAGTTATAATACAAATTTTTTCATTAGTACGCATTGTAATTTCTATACATTTATGGCACTGAAATTAAATTAATTCAAATTGTTTTATCTTAACCATTACTATTTTGTTTGTAAAGAAAACTACTAACCAACCTACCAATTCTTGTAATAAAAAAAATTAACAATATTACAGATTTTAATTAGGACATATGATTGGGTTAAATTATGTTTTCAACTAAGTCTCTTTAAATACTGACAACATATTGAGTCAAAATACTTTGTTAACACAAGTAGTTTATAAACTATTGATAGTTAAAATAACACACGTTAGGGGAAGTACTAGGATAAAAAAGGTCAGCAGAATTTAGATTTAGAATAGTTATAATTGTATATTGTTTGTAAACAAAAAAAAGTATAATTAAAAAACCACCTTTTTTTATCTTCCATATTTTCAATAAAAATTATTATATTGAACATATAACGTATGTGACAAACTATTCTTTTTTTTATTAAAAGTTTCTTAAAACTAAAATAAATTTTTTTTTTAATATTCACTTTTTATAGCTAAATTATAAATATTTAAATCATTATTAAGTTCAGCTAGTATATTTTTTTCATATAATTTAATAATCAAAAAAAATATCTTTACCAAATATATCTAAAACTTTAATTTAGTTTGATTTACAACAATTAATGGCCACATGGCCACAATACTTATTAGTTATTAGGCACTGACTCACTGGTAAATCTCCTAGTGAGCCAATCCACCTTTGAATAGAGTACAGTTTTTAAATATATAACATGTATTTATAAAACACTATTCAATTTAAAACAGAAAGTATTTCTGTATTAAGTTTATATTATTGATGTCAATGAAATAAAAATTTTCTAATTGCAAATTTTGTCATATTTAAATGCATATATGAATGAATTTTTGATTACTAATTTCTGAGCTCTAGACCAGTGGTTCTTAACTTTTTATAGATCACAGACCCCTTAACCAATTTTTTTAAAAATACTTTTCTTTTATAATATGTCATGTATTGACGTATGTTATGCTTTAGACTAATAACTTATACCTACTGAGTAGTTTATTGGTAACTTAACACTTATCCAGGATGTGATAGACTATAGTCTTAACTAATTTCAGGTTCAGAGTTATAATTTTTATCTTTTCCAATAAGTTAAAATAAAATTATATATTTGTCATAATATTTCAAATTACATACTTTATTGACTGAATACAAAAGTTGTAAAGTTTGATCCAAAGAATTTATCACAACGCGATTAACTTCTTCCATCATATTAAAACTTACACCAGCATTCACAATTACAAATAATGGTTTACAATTCTCATTTTCTTCATCTAATTTCATTCGCAAAGAATGAATTACAATATTTGGCCGAAACTCCAATTTTATCCAATGCTAAAAAAAAAAACCAATAACTGCATTAGAAAAAATATTTATTGGGATTTAGCCATTAAAGCTATTTCTAATTAAATTTCTTAAGTTAGATTTTTTCCATTTAATTCTCATAATACACATATAGTTCAAATATTAATGACATAAAATGAGAATGAAATTGATAATTCTTTGCTTATTACATTAGTTATTTAATTTTTTTTTTCGTATTGGTTCACTAAAATGACTTTATCGATTTTTATCACTGTCTTTTTCACTTGGAAAGGGTAAAGTATAACAAGGACCAGGTACAGTAGAACTTATGAAAGTATTATAAAAAAAAATGTGCAACTAGTATTAGAGTAGCAAGTAGAGATAATAGCATTTCTCAAGATTCAAATAAAAATTTATTTGATTTAATTTTTAATAAATAGTGATAACAGCAATGAAATTCTTTAAAATGAAATTAGGAGAAGTAGTTGCAAAATACATGCTGAAATTGATGCACCAAAAAACTTAACAAAGTAAGTTTTCATCAGAAATGTATCTAATTATCTAATTCAGTATTCACTATTAGAAAGTAATACTAAACAATTTTTATTATATGACAGCAGACCAGAAAGAACTTTGATTTTTGGCCGTTCTTAATGTTTAAACTTGCAGCATCAATTAAATAACTAGTATGCAATTAATATGCTGATGGTACATCTAAATTAGATTTGATAAAAAGATAAGTAACCAAGTAATAATTTTTATTTATTAATTTTTTATTAATAAAGATTTGTATAGCTAGTGCAAAATTATCTTTATGATAAAATTGATTCATACTGAAGTAGTCATACAGAATTTTCCTAGGTCAATTTATTAAAAATTTTTATTTCTTACAACTCCTTTAGGATTTTCACTAGTCCAGCGACTATCTGATTTCCAATCGAATAAATTTGGGAGTAGTTTTTCTTCAGCAGAAGAAGTGCATTTTGTAATGAATTCAGAAATTTGTTCTCTATTTGGATAATTAGATAGTATTATAGTATTTTTGTCTGGAAAAAACAATAATCAATTATTTATTTATCATTTTCTTCTGATTTCTGATCAAATAATAATATGAAATGCTTAATTAACATTTACCATAATTGGATTTTTGAGGTAAACTTGTTATCTCAATAACTTTATTGTTATCTATAACATCATATTCATAGAGTGAAGTACCATAATCTATTAATTCTATATGAATGTATCGTACCCAACACGCACCAATAGACTTCCAGTTCACCTGTAAATGTATTAGTAAAATATTTATTATGTTTGAATATATTTATTTTAGCTATAAGCTAATATACAAAACGCATGAATTCAAAAATACCTTGATATTGAGATCATGTAGTCCACCACCTTTTATAATTTTAATAACTTTCCCTTCACATCCAATATTAACATTTTCAAACTCTCTACAACAGCGTACAATCATGCCTACATCAACAGCATATTTCACATAGTTTGCATATTCATCAGCACTGTTAAAATCATTACGTCTTTTAAATATTACTTTATCATTACTTGTAGGCTATAAAAAAAAAAAAAAAACCATTTGAATAATTTGAATTAGAAATCAGTATAAAAACTTACATTTTCATGACATTCTTCTGTTGTTGATGATTCATCTTTATCTGAAAAATCTTCATATGATGATAAAGTGTCAGTGCCATCAGATAAACATTCATTTTTTCCTTCCATTAATAAGGCAACTAATGCATCTAATGAAGTGTAACCATGTGCTTCAATAGCACTAAACACACATTGCTTATTGAAACCCATATCAGATAATTGAGCTAATAACATATTTAATGTACTTTTTGAAAAATATTTTGACCATTTAAAATGTCGCACAGAATTAGATTGAACGTCGACTGTTAAGTATTGAGTTAAATTTATAGCTGCTTCTTCTAATTCTTTTTTTGAGTATTCTGGTTTTATCGGAGAAGGTTGAACAGCTTTTGATAATATTAATTGAAATAAGTTCTCAGATTTCCCATCACTACTTGTTGTCAGCTGTGTAAGTATTTTACGAAGCAGTATTCGATTTTTTAACAAAGCATTAACAGCTTTTATACCTGCTAATAATGTCTTTTGATAGCAAAGAAGAGATTCGTTGACTAATTCTCCTAAAAATCAATAATGAGAAAAAAATTAAAATAAATTTGAATACATTTTAATATAGTTTAATTATAATATACCTGTAACAGTTTTAAAACTTAAATTAGTAATGACTGCAGAAAACATTGTTGTCCATGTATAAAGCATAGATTCTGATATAAAATCCAAAGAAATTGTACAATTTGGAATATGCTCTATGTCTTTGATGAAAATACTTTCTGTTTTCCCAGTGCTGTGTACTAGTACTTTGAGTTTTCCTTTTTTCTCAATGCTCATCACAGTAGCTTCAATTAAATGTAAATATTAAAATATTATTTAAAATATACTAACACTAAAAGAACACTAAAATCTTTATTATGTGTTATATTATAACATTAATTGAAGGCATCGGAGCAATATTCAGATAAGTCCTAAGTTTTCAAAAATTCATTTTTAAACAAAAATGTTCAGAAAAACTTCTCTGTCGATTGGCCCAACAATCAGATATATCTAATTATTATTATAAGAGATATAGTAAAGTTATAAAACCATTTTACATTTTGTTTTTTTCAGTTGCATTAACCAAGTATGTCTGGACATATCCGTAAAAACATTATATAAAAATTTTATTTTTAATTGGGCACAAAAATCAAATATGTATGGATGTAATTGGTTATATTGCTCTTAACGAAAAAAAATCGATATGGTCAACAATCGTTGAAAAAAGAAAGAAGTAAATAGGACATCTCATAAGAAACCAATATACATATAATGACTATAATTGAGGGAAAACTCAAAGGAAGCTAGGAAGGGAAAGACCTAGGCAGTCATACATAAAGCAGATTATGTTGGATGTAGAAAAAGAGTCATATAGAAAATTGAAGAGAGTTATATTAGATAGAGAGGAATGAAGGAGTATTTCATCATTCAACCAATCTACAAATTGAAAAAAAAAAGAAGATTATTGTTTAATGTAATAAAATGTATTGGAATATTTTATAATAAGATTTGCCATGTTTATAATAAAAATAAAAATAAATTAAGTAACTAACCTTCAGTTTCTCCTTTAATCAATACATTTCCTCCAATTCTTGGTCGGTTATCAAAACCTCCAATGACCATTAATGATGCTATTGTACTATATGACAAACTCTGTAGTTTCTATAAAATAATAAAAAATTATTTGAGCACAGGTCAAAATAAATATTTTTACTTACAAATACATTTTTTTCAAGTGTGGGATTTGCCAAGTAATCAGTTGCTGATATTATATTCAAAATAAACAGAGAATCAAAATAAGGAGGTAAATCAGTAGTTTTTTTTGGTTTTGTACTCTTTTTGTTATTATATAACGTACGTAACAAAAGAATACATTCTTCAGCAATGGTATTTGAACATGAAGCAGTTAAAGGCACTGTTGGTTTACCATCTTTACAAAAAAAAGTATGTTAATATACATTAAATAAATAAAAATTATCTTAAAACAAATATATTTACCAATTACATCATATTTTGAGTTACTTTGTAATACCGAAGATCCAATAACTTCCATAAGATTTTCTACTACAGACGTAATAATGGATGAATCAGTCATTTCAGGTGTAATCAAAAGTTTGATTAACTGTATGGTTTGCACCTAGTACAAATTTGAAATTTTATATAAATAAAAAAAGATTAATTTGAAAATATTACAAACAGTATGATTTTATATGTCACCTGGGTTGTTAGAGTAGAAGATACTGTTGGAGAATGAGATATAATTGATAAAAGCATGTCAATCCACTGTTTACATGCAAATTGCTGTTTATATTCATCAGATATTTTTGATATGATTTTCAATAGAGAAATGTTGATCCATTCAGAATGAAAAAGTATGGCATTTGAAATATTAGAACTTAACCAACTCTTCTAAAAGTCAAAGATAATATCATAAGTATTACAAATTTGTATATCCAGATTAAAAATATAAACAATTAATTTCACCTCTAAAGTATTATAAAAATATTTTGAGAGAATTTGAATTGAATTTTCATTTTTAATTGAATGAACAGCACTTGATAATGAAAGACAGTTAAGAAATTTTATCATGACACACTTGAGTATATCAAATGGATTTTCTGTTGAGTTTTCATGTATTTCTAAAAATTAATTTACAATTTTATTTTTAAACAATAAAAAATTAACTAAATCTTACCACCATTATTTGTGCAAGAAACATTACAATCTGATTCTTCATCATCTCCCGCATCTAATCCAGGTGCTAGTTTTAAATCATATTTTTCTTCTTTACCCATTCTATAAGAATTAGATACTCCATGATCCCAAAGAACTCTAATCCAACCATCATCACCCATTTTACTAACAATTTGCCCTTCACCAGGAGGTACACCATCCTATAAACATAAAATTCAACATAATATAAATTCAAACATAAATAAATTGATTTTATACTTGATTTTCCCATTTCCAATCTTCTCCACGAACAACTCTAGCACCTAATTTTAAGTAAGGTATGATGTCTGCTCCTCGTAAACACTTAATTTTATTTAAATCCTCTTCATAAATAATTTGCTTTGTATTTATTTTTTCAATTGGTCGTTTTGCAGCAAGGTCTAAGGTGTTAATAATGGAATTAATAGCAGATAATATATTAGAATTTATTAACAGACTAGATTCTTTTTCATTTAAAATTTGTGTTATTGATCCAAATGTTGCAATAGCAAATCTAAAAATATATTGGTATAAAAGTATAAAACACATTAATCAGAATATTATTAAATTATAAAATTACCGGCACCAAGTCATTTTTTTTATAGTTGTTATTTTATCTCGAATTCCTACGGATTTATGAATTTCTCCTATTTGAGATACAAGAGTTTTAATTTGTTCCAAAGCACATCTCATGAAATCACATTTAGCTATTAAAAGCTTAAGTTTATAAGTCACCGAAACGAGTTCTACTTCATTATTGTTTCTACAACAGAAATATAAATTTTAAATAAATATTATAAATATTTTAAAAATATATGTACTACCTCGATGAAGAACTGTTTGGCAATGCAGATAGCCAACCTGATATAATACTATATTTTACAGAACTTATTGATGTAGGATTTTTAAATAATTTATTAATAAGTTCATAACCAGTTTGTATCATATTGCATCTATCTATCTATTTTGACAAAACATATGAAAATATAAATAAATAGTTAATATTGATTAAGAATTTATTAATAAGAAAATGTTCTACTTACTTCTGAGAGTAATAATTTTCTTATCTCATGGATGTTAACGTTTGATAGAACAAATGATAAAATCATTTTACTGATTTCTATCTGATTATGTTTATTAGATATTAATTCAGTATCATTTGTATCTTTAATTTTTTCATAAATACCTTATAATAAAACATATAAAAATTAAAATTGAACTAAAAATGTAAGATTAATATTATACCATTTTGTAAATTATTTGGTGCTGGTACATATTTTATGTTGGGTTTTTTAACAAATTTGTTCATGTCTTCCTATAGAAATACCACAAAATTTACAATTTCTATTAAATACCAAAATTATATATTAAACAAATTACTAACTTCATCATTTAAAAAACATTGTAATGGAAGATTTTGGTTTCGAGCTTTATGGTTTCTAACATTTTTCTTTGTTTTAATACTAGAAACAACAGAATTAATTACTGTTTTCCATCTAGATTCAGTTTTCAAAATAGGTAGTTTTTTCGCTGTAGTTATTTTAGAAGACAAAATTGGACTCAGTTCATTAAGTAAAAACCTAAATAGTTACATAATAATATTTTAGATAGAAACACTAAATATTAGACTTGAATTTGATTATTATAACAGACCTGCATCGATCCAAAATAGGGGAACATGTTTCTTTATAGTTTAAATTCATATCTTGTTTCATTTTGAGAATTTGTATTTTAATTTGACCAAACAGTTTAAAAATGATGTCCAATGGTAATGGTTTTTCTGTAAAATGAATAAATAAACTAAAAATAATTTTTAGATAAAAAATATATGCTAAGAGTCTACAATTGCTACTAAATAGTATGCTCATTAATTTTTTTTTTAATAAATCAGATATTTCCACTTCAATACATCTTTAGTATCTTAATGGGTTTAAATTTAATTTTAATGTTAAGTTTTACATGTTTATCTGATGTTGTTATAATTTTTCTTTTAACTACCTTTTTCAATAATTTCTGCTTTATTCAAATTTAAATGTTTAACTAATACTTTAGCTAAATTTTGAATAATTTCTTCAACAGGGTGATCAGGTTCATATTGTATTTGATTATCAACTGATTTACGTTCTTTGTATGTTAATATTAACATTTTTGCACATTCATCCTAATTAAAAAAAAAAAATAAATAATAATATTAAATACAGATTTATCTTTAATTTAATTTATTACTCACATAGTTATTATTTTTACTATCATCAATACCAGCACGTAATAAAGGAAACCAAATATTAAAACATTGATAACTAGAATAAGGTTGGGATAAAGTAGTTAGATAATGTGCATGGATTCCCAACAAATAACCAAGAGTTCGATGAACGTCTAAAAGCAGCGGTTCAGTCAAATTTGAGTCAATAGGCTATACAAAATAAGTGATGACCAATTATAGTAAAACAAGTTAATTATAATATTTACAAATTACTCACTTCAACTATGTCCTCATCTGGATCCAAATAATTTCCAACAAAACAGGACTGTAAAGTTTCTTCAGGCATTTCAGTTAATACATTTTCATAAATAGATGATGAATGTAGCATAGTAACAAATGAATAATTCATTTCACTAGATCTAAATATTGTTAACAATAATTTTAATAAATATAAAACAATAAAAATAACCTACAAATACCTAGTTTCTTGAATATCATATACTTTTTTATTAAACACTACCCAGTGTCCTCCATTTCTATTATGATTTTCTAAATCAGGTTTTCGAATCAACATAACATCTTCAACATTTTTATACCAAGTATTACAAGTATAGCCTATTAATAAATTAAAATGTTTTCTTATTATTATTAAGGAGCCATTATAAACTATAAGTAATGTTTAGTTTTATGCACTTACTAGAAAACCCAGGCCAGGACAAATTATCATCTTCTTCACGTTCTAAATTTGGGGTCATTAAATTAAACGCATCCAAAGCATTAAGTAAGGGTAAGAAAAGATTAAACCAATCAGTATTGCATAAAAATAAAGGGGTTTTTTGATGAACCATGATTAAACTTATTAAAAGCTCCATAAACAACTTATCTAAAAAAGATAAATATTAAAAATTAAAGAATAATAAGTTAAATTTAAGAACCTACCAAATCCAGCCACACTTATAACTTTTGTGATAATTTGATAATGCTTAGAACTTCGAGATGCTACATGATTTGCTAGTTTTATAGTTTGACAAGAACGCTTGACAAAATGACTTATATATTTTGAAAGTAGCATTTCAACACCTTGATTGTCCATATCTTAAATATATATTAAAAAAAAGAGATAAATATACATTTAAATATAATTTTAAACAATACCATATATTTTGTTACAATTATATTTAAATAAAAGATTCAGGTCTATTTAATTGTTTTATTTATATTGAAATGTATAAACAAAAGAAAATATTAAGATTATACATATATTATAATTACCCAATTCGCAACGGCATTTATCATTTTTATTTTTTTTTTGACGATATATTGACATTATTAAAAGTCTTTGGAAAGTCATAATAAATTTTAAACTGGGAGATTGGTTAAAATTATTTGAAGGCACTTTTACTGTATGGATTTGTGTTGAAAGACTTGTGAAGTAATTGCTTTAATTAAAAATAAGTTATCCTTACATTATTACAATTCAAAAACTTCAATAATATAAAGTATTTCTATAATTTACATACTTAAGTAACTGAGAGACTATAAAACAAAGAGATATGTTTGTTTCATCAAAATTATGTTTGAAGCTTTCAGAATGTTGAATGTTTTCATCTGAAAAATAAAAAAAAAATTAAAAATATATATTTTCTACACACAAATGTATACAGTATTATTTAAAATAATAAACTTACGTTCAATAGCTTTTTTTAAAAATGTATATAGAATATTGTCACCCAATAAACTATTTGTAATCAGATTTATCATAAACTCTTGATTACTATTTATTGATTGAGATTCATCTAAATTAATGAAATAGTTTTAAATAATTGGAATAATATTTAATTTTTAAAATCAATAATTCCATACCATTTGGTGAAGTCATAGGTTGTAATATAGTACATAACATATTAGCTCTTTCATTTGGCGTTTGAAATAGTATAAGCCATCCAACTTCCAAGGTTTTTTGAGCAGCTAATTTAATAGTATTTATTACTTTTGTGTTTGATGCTAAGTCAGTAACTGTTTGACGTATACTTAATAATAACTTTGAGTGTCCCACAAGTCCAACAGTGTCAGCACTCACATGATTGTTAATCATAGAATGAAACTACAAACAGAAATTATGTATCAAAAGTAATTTAATGATACATTTAAAGACTTATATTTACCTGCAAAGTAAGTAAATGTAGAACAGATACTAATACACATTCTTGTTGTTGAGATGGTGGCCAATCAATATATGTTTTATATTCTTTAAACTCATTAGATAAAAGTTGTTCTAAATAGTTTAATGTTTGAATTTGTAAGTCAGTCACAAATGATGTAGATATTCCAACATTAAATTCTTCACAATCATACCACGCGAAACACTTAAAAAAAATAATAAATTAGATAAATTAATTTATATTTATTAATGCATTTATTAATTTATATTTATTAATGCATTTTAAAATATTTTAAATAAAATTATTAACAAGTCAGTATTTTTATTTTTATTTGTGATTTAATAAATATTAACTATCATTATATCAAAAACATATATTTTTAACAAATTACAAATTTTATTTTAGCGACTATATTTACTTGATTTGGACTGCAAGCAATTTTTTTTACTTGTCTATTCATTAAACACTTGACAGGTCTACATTGTGTGGTATTTTCATTCTCTAATTGACCCCAACAATAGACTTGGCCTGTAGCAGTCAATGCTAGTATATAATCATCTGCTAATGAAAGGGATGTAACTTGTTTGCCTGTTTGTAAAAATAATTGTATAGAGTAATTATAACATAGAAAATCCATTTGAATATGTAATAGAAATTCACCATTTAAAAATTTTACTTCCTTAGGTCGATTGACACGAAATGAGTTATTGTGGCCTAACATATTATTGTTACCTCTTCCCCAAGTAAATACATTGTTAGCACAATCAATAACAGCATTTACATCATTATGACAATATACTGATACAATTTCATAATCAAACACAATCATGCTGGGTATTACATTTAAAGATTTATCATCACAACCTAATGAAAACAATTTCATTAAAATAATAATAAAAAACAAAAACCGGTTTGAAAAGCAAACCTTGGTCAGAGTTTCTATATTCAAATGAAAATACATATCCTTCTTGGGATAAAGCCAGTGTATTATTAATAGATGCTCCACAAGAAACTTTTGATACATGCCATTCTACCAAAAATAAGTAAAAACATGTATATTATAAACAACTATAAATTAGATATAATAGATGGCGGATTTATATACATTAAAAAAGTTTAAATATGCATATCGCATGTAATATATACCTTAAAAAAATTCAAATACACAATCAAAAATGATCAAAAATAAATTTATAAACTATAATAATTTGTTTTTAGGAAGATTCTAGAAAACACTTAAATTTGTAGTAAAAGATGAAATATACATTAAAAAATTAAAAACGTCAAAAAAATTTAATACACAAAAAGATGTTTTGGCATTAATAGTTCCATGTAATTAATTAATGTTAAAAAACACATGCTGTGTTTATTTAGCATATCACATGATCAACTAAAATAAAAATGCAATTGCATACAAATCCGCACTCTAGTATTTATGTATAGGTAATTACCTGAAATAGATTTAACTAACTCTGGAGTATAGCAACAATTACTACTATGTAATATTTTACCCCACATGTACAATTTACCATCTTCAGTAACAGCAGCACTAAAATAATTTAAAATTTTGTGTATTCTTTATATAATTTTCTAGCTAGACTATTTAATTTTTATGTAAGAATATAAAATTTTTCATCATAGATTAGAACATTTATAAGTTAATAAAAAAGATCATTATTAATATAGTTATTAATAGTTACCAGAAATCTTTTCCACACGAAACCATAACAACTATGATTTTAGAAAATGCTACAATTAGTTCTGGAGCAGAAAAAGAAGAACATTTTTGACCATGGCCTAAAGCACCAAATTCATTTACTCCCCAAGAGTACACTTCTCCTTTTTGAGTAACTGCTAAGTATGTTTCATCATAAACATCAACTAATTTTATAGGTACATTCATCATTTGTTTTTCTTCAAAATTCTAATTATACAATTATTGTTTTTTTTTCAATTATTTGAAACAATATTAAAAATTAAAAATAACAATTAAAATTACCAATGAATCAATTGAATAACTAATAAAATGTAGAGTTCCACTGGTTGTTACAACCAATATCTCATTTCTTGAACATACTACAGACTCAACATGCAAACGTTCAAGGGTTAATATTACTTTTTTTTTGGTTTCAGGATAAAATTGTTTACCCCAATACTGTACAATATTCTTTTTATTCTTAATTTCGTGCATTTTTTGCTATTGTTTAAAAATTTTAATTTTGTTAAGAAATTGTAATTAAAATAAAATTAATTATATTTTATTACTTGAAGCGTTAAGTAAGTGATAGCTATTTGGTCTAAAAATGCTAAAATAATTACAGCTGTTTGTTTCATGCCCGTAGGTTGTGGATTATCAGCATCATTATTTATTCTTAAAAAACTTTTTGTAACACTATCCTGAAATAGTTATAATAGATAAATTAGTATAGTATAAAACAATTTAAGAAAAGTAATATACTTTATTTGAATGAATCACATCATAGTTAAAATTGTTTTGAATTCTTGATACTACCCAATTTAAGCGACGAAGTGTTATTGTTAATAAATTATGTAAATGTCTATTGTGAATCCTAAAAATTAAAAATATATGTTAAATTAATTTAAATTTGAATAGATAAACTAAAATTTACTTGTCACATTGTAATCCCAATTCAAAGTACATTAATACACATTGTAATATTTGACTCAGTGACTTTTTTTGTAGTCCTAGTTCTAACAAAAGACATAAAGCAAATTGTCTGTCAGTATTTGGAATGTGATTTACATGAATACTTTCATTTTCAAATACATTAATATTTCTGAAATTGCATTATAAAATATTTATTTAAATAATATTGTTATTATTAAATATACCTATATAATATATTAATTTTAAAATACCCATTGACTACTTGAAATAGGAACTCTGATGATCTTTCTAAAGTTTCAATCCAGAAAGTAGGAACATTGCTTTCATCAACAAAAATATCTTCTGGAATACATTGCAGTGCTTCTAGTGAGTCTTTAAGCATTTTTGTGCATAAATCAGAATTATTGCCTGACCGCCAAGTACTGACTAGAAATCCAAATGAAAAGTTTAATGCTGTCTGTGTACCAATTTTAGCAAATAAAGACATTTTTTCCTCATCATTAGTATTGCTAACAAATGTAAAAATAATTAATTGTATTAATAAATAAAATTAAACATTGTTAAAATATTATTTACTTTTTTGTCTTAATGGAATTTTTACAATTTTTGTGTATCATTATAGATGACTGTGTTTGATTATTTGATTTAGATTGAAAAAAAAAATCTCTGTAAAAAGCACCAAAGTAACGAGAAGCAATAGCCATCCGAAGTTGAGTTTGATTGAAAAATAATGTTGAATAACATATATCTTCACATAGTTTCCTTTGTTCAGCCGCAAATACAGATATCAATGATTTAACATCATCTTTATCTAAATAGATGTTAAATAAAACTACAGGTAAATCACATTGTTAAATACATTAGAAAACTTACCACAATTAGGTTTCCATATAAGAGATTCAAACATTTGTTTAGACTTCAGTGTTTCATTAACATCATAAGCTTTATAAGGCATATAACTGCATACATTTTCAGATTGTTCATCTTTACATGGACAGTTTACTGCCCACATGCCAATATAATAACGTCCAGATGATTCTACTAATAAAAATAAGAAAAATGTTTATTTTCAATCAAAATATATTCATTTAATTATTGTGGAGATGTTAAACCTTTTTTTAATAGCAGTGAATTGTCATTATCCACGGGGATCAGTTCAGAATCTTCTATCATCTCGTTCCAATAATTGGCAAGTCGGTTTTTATCCAATGCTTCATGAAGTTCTATCGCAAGCCATTTAGGATCTAAAGCGGGTTTTTGTTTTATAATAAATTCAACTTTAGTACTCATTTTGATTTTGATTCTAATAATGGAATTAATAAATATATATAATTGTTAATCATTCAATTTTTTAAACAGTCCAATCAATAGTAGACTAAACATTTTTTCTTTTAACAATCATATTTTAGGACCGTTGTTGAAATAATTAACCAATAAAGATAAATTGATCTAATAAAAATAGTTGAAAACAATATTTCATTTTAGGATTTAAAATGTACAACTTATAATCAGATCCTTTTAAAACGTTTTTGCTTTTGGGCTTTGGCCATTTATCTTTGAAGTTGAAAATTGCAGACAATAGGTATATTTGTATATGCTTTATATAACAAATAACAATGATAAACTAAAACGCCGTAATATAATATTAATTTTAATTCACATCGCCTAAAATCTTAAATCAATACTTTACTAACAAGCATTTTAAACTGATAACAATAACACCAACATTACACTGCCACAGTCAGACAGCCTGACTCATGATTTCCGTGATAGTAGTCAACTATATAAATTATATTATTATCTGCACTCGCCATTCTGCAGTCAACACGACTATGTATACCCATAGGCCATAAATTAATAACTCCAATAATTCTATTATGTGTTATAATATGTATATAGGTATAGTACCTATATAAAAGTATATGATCTAGATTCTAAAATAGTAACCGTCTTCTGAGATCAGCTTTAGAAATCTTCTAAAATATGAACCTTTTATTATTCCATAATTATTTTTCCAAAGTCAATTTGTTCCAATGATTTAGATTTCGAAATTTTAGCTTAAGTGTGCATATTAGTATATTCAATATTGTATTGCAGTAACATAGTGTTTTCCAAAGGGTGTGCCGCGGCACACTGGTTTGCCGCGACACATTGGTTTGCCGCGACACACTGATTTGCCGCGACAACTTGAACTTTATATACCCATACATTATATATATAAATTATAAACCACTTAAAGCCCTTACGCACTAGGCCAGGGGTCTCCAAACTACGGCCCACGGGCCGGATGCAACCCCCGAATAAGTTTTCACGGCCCGCCAAATAACGGAAAATATTCTAAAAATATATATAGTTTTCATAGTTGTTGTCACGCGCACGAGCAATTATCAGCTGTATTGGCTGTAATTTATAAATTATATACATGAAAATTAAATGTGTTCATACATTTTGGCCCCCTAATAGTTTTTTTTATTTTATGTGGCCCTCGGATAAAAAAAAATTTGGAGACCCCTGCACTAGGCGAATATAGTTCACGCGCGGACGCGATTTTAAATTGCCGCGAACGTTCGCTACGATTAAATAATAAATAACTTGTATTGTATTAGACCGTACACACTATGTATTATGTAAAGCGAGCTAATAAAATCCGCCATCGTCCTCGATGTATCACACATTAGCAGTGAATTCGCACACGCTTAATTTTGGGCGAACATTCGCGGCGATCCGCGCGTAGACTATTCGCCTAGTCGCCTAGTGTGTAAGGGCCTATTTATATTTGAAAAGTAGATGATAGTATTTAATATTTTATTAAAATGTGCCGCGACGGAAAAAAAGTTTGAGAACCACTACGTCTAACACAAAAATCTCTTGTCTAAACAACCATAATATTTGGTTTTTATTACTTAGATTAATATCTACTCCAACTAATTTAACTGTTTCCCCTTTGTTTTATGATCTATATTTGAGTCATTAAAATATAGATATAGTTTATAATCAATAATCGATCTATTTTAATTCGTTATATATAGGTAATACCTAATAGAATTAGTAAACATGAAATAAAATTATTTTTAATGCAAACCTCGTGTTTTCAATTTTTCAAGTTCTAGTGCTAAATGTGAAGTAGGTATATTGAAAGAGTTCTGAAAATCGTGTATCTGTTACAAATCAAAATGGCTTGAATCTTTGAACAAGTAAAAAAAAAATCGGTATAATAAAGTCAAATAATTGCTATCTAACAATTAAATTATTAGATGATAATAAGATATTACAGTTTATAGATGAATTAACATAAATAAAATAGGTAGGAAAAAAGTGAAAAAATAAGCTTTTATTTAATAATATCTAATCAATAATGAATAAGATTTGGAGCTCAAATTTTTATGTAGGTAGTCATAATTATTATGAAGTATGAGTAATTGAAACTTTATCAAGATTCTTTTTGGGGTATTTACTAGGGTTTAAGTTTCTATACTAGGACTTGAGCTTTTTTTAACTGAGGTACCTAATAATAAGACTACTTAATTATTATAAACCTATTAATCGATGTGTTTTGTTTAATGGACCTCTTTTTTAAAATCTATAGGTAACCCCATTATTTCGTTGGACTAGCTACTTCTAAAGAAACTGTAGTTACGAGTACATTATATTTCCTCGTTGTTCATAATTTTTTTTAGAATTCATTTAATACGCCATTGTCACCATTTCTTTTCAAAAATTAATATAATCTCAATATACGCCGTTTAATAATTCAAAACAATATTTTAATATAATACACATACACCTACGTAATAATCAATTATCTCAAATTATGCCCTCAATAATAATATACCTATCAAATAAAACACTTAAATGTGATTTAATAACCATAATAGGTACCTATTCAATTAATCTTGGTAATATATTAGTTTAATTCATTAAACTATGTCACATACGCCTTTGTAATAAAAAATTAATAAATTTATAAAATTAATTAATTATTCACTTATAATAATGAGGAGTTGCGGATTGTGGTTGTCATTTTAGATGGACAGTTGATTGTTATACTCTGTTGTTAAGTTTATTAACGGAATTATATCAGTAAGGATTAGGTGATCCTTACTGCTGATCTTTCTCATCGCCGGTGTACCTTTAAAGATTACTCCTTGAAATAAATCCCCTTCGGATACCCCAATCAGTAATCTAAATATATAATAAAATGAAATAATTTTCTTTAGAAAATTTCAATCGTATTATGGTTGTTTATTTAATAAATTACAAGTTAATTGTATAAAGTGTGAACCGTGAAAGTGCTGTGGAACCTATGGTTATGGACTATGTTTCATTTTAGAAAAGAGAGATTAACAAACGCTCTTACTAATAATAAAAGGGTGAAAATTGGTTCAACAATTCACAGCGATCAGTGGCAAGCATATAGTTCTCTAAATGACCATGGATTTATTCATCAAACTGTAAACCACACTGACAATTTTGTGGATCCAAATACTGGAATTCATATTCAATCAATAGAATTGAGTCACTGTGGAAATTAGTCAAGTCCAAATATAATATAAAAGTTAATGGTGGATCTCTACTATTATATCGCCAACTTAAAGAAAAATGGTGGCGATCATGCCACCCGATCAAAACTTAAATATTCAATGATTTTTTTATCAGATTAAAAAAAAATAATTCTGTAATATAACAAACAAATTTCAACGGTAGATCACACGTTGGATCAGCCATTTATTGGCAGATCGCATATAGGACCGGTCCCAGAAATAATTACCTGAAAATTGTCGGTTTTTCTTAATATTTACTTTCCGATTATAAAAAAGTACTAGCAATTTTTACATTTGAGCTCTGAACCCTTCTGGAGCTGATACTGCGCAGTAGGTACCTATGTATTCAATATATAGGTATATAGATATATTTACTATTGTTTAGTAGATATCCAGGAGTAAGTGGAAACTTAATTTAGACTTGGAGATTGAAATTTATTCAGGCCACTAATTAAATCATCAATTTTTTTTTCATTTTTAAAACTTATAAAAATACACATAGGTACAAAAACATTTCAATAATAATTGATTGTAATATAAATAAATATATTTTATTTTTTTTATAATGTTATATTACATCTTTCAATATTATTAATGTATTACATCCATAAATCTATAGTGTTTAGGAAAATAACTAAACCGATTAGTATAATTGCTCGACATTTCTATTCAATAAAACAAGGGTATCCAATGTAAAGAATTCTATTAACAAATAAAATATTATTAGGCTGAAATCAAAACAACCAATTACGTTATTTGCGAGAAACTATTAGCAATACACGTTTTGTTTTCAAACATTAAGTTAACAATGTTAACATATATATATAAGTAGTATAAGGAAATAGATTAGGTAGGTAATAACAGTTTAAAATTATAATTACAGTAGTATAGACAAAATCATATACAATAATTACCACTCATTAGTAAAGTTACTAGATCAAATTTCTGTAAAAGCAAGACAAATATTCAAAAAGAACTGGTGGATGAGGGGTATATCTCCTCATAAGGTACCTAGTATTTGTGAAAAGGGTTAACCTTCTTTAATAATTGGTTTTGGTAACATCTTTCTTTTCTTAGACTAAAATTAGACATTTCAAAAAGTAAAACATAATTTTATAGTTATAAATTACAATAACATTTGAATATTATTGATGAAAATAGTCTTTATTCACTTGATAAAAAAAAAATAAATAAATAAAAAATCATATTAGGATTATTTTTATCAAATTAGGATAAAAATAAACTTTAAATCTATTATAATATTATGTTTGTATGAAAATCAAATATTTAAGTAATAAAGTCAACAACAAAATTATAAAAATAAGTATTCTATATTTCCATGTATATACACTTATAATCATAACCAAAATAGGAAAAGAAGCAGAGATATTTGTTATAATAACTAAATTCTTAATCCTGGTACAGTGAAATTTAGATTCAAAGGATTATTTTATTTGCATTAATGTATAACTCATAGAACAAAAACTTTTTATTGATAGTATGAACCTCCAGCTGCAGCTACTTCTAAATATTTAAATAAAAGCATTGTAGTTTTAAAAAATGTTGTCATTAATTAATTAGTAGAAAAGTAGCATAATCACATTATCAGCAGATTTGTGTTTGTTAGGTTTTAAATGTTGTTTAATACTATTTACACCTTTATGTGATTTTAATGTAGTGACAGTTTAAAAAATGTACATCTAGTAGTCCAAGTGTTTTTTTATACAAGGATATTTTTTGCTAGTTCATTATAAAATATTAAAATATACATGAGTGTTTTATTTAACTATTTTAAAATAACATTTTAGGACATTCAGAAATGATTAATAAAAATTAATATTAAACAGTGAATAAAATAAAAATTATTTGAAAACAAAACGGGATGTTGAGTAAAAACTGATATACTTAACTATCTTGATTTGATTATTATACTTAGAAAGATATCTGCATAAAAAATTTACTATCTCAACAAAAATAGGACATCAGTTTAAAACACAAATAAGGTATTTAAATATGTAAAAGTAATCTATAGAGATAAATTAATTATTAGTTATTGTTTTTAAATTTGACAATTTAATCAAATATTTAAGTGGGTATTATTTTTAATAAAAAAGGAATCACTAAAGCTAATAATATATATTTGTAAATTAATGTATCTTCAACTGGAGCTGTAAAAAATCAAAACATTCAATTGTAGCCAAACCATAGAACACTAATAATTTGATTTGGCAATTTAAATTCTCAAGAAGACCAAACTACAAATAAATTTAAATTATTTGAAATGTTGACTTTCCGTACATTCTATTATGAGATTAAAATTATGCCAATGAATCTTATGAACATGCATTCAATGGTAATAGATGATTTTTACACTGTGATCAGTTTACAGAATTTAGAATAAAAAAAATTATATAATTATGTATATATAAACAAATTATTTTTACAAATATTTGTATAATAAATTTTTTTCTTCAGTGTTTGAATAACTATAATACATAGTCCAGCAATGGGTATACGATCTTCAGGACAATTATCCACACAAGGAAGATGAAACAGTCACCAGTGGCTTAAGAATGGTTCACCAAACATTTAACGGTCTAGAAACTAATATTGAGGATTTTTTAAACAAAACTAATTTCAATAAACACAATAACTATAATCATTTAAAATTGTTCTTATACAGTATTAAATGTAACCTTATCATCTGGTTTGCTCTCTAGAGAAAATGGAGGGATTCGACAATCAAATAAATGTCCATCTTCACGTTCCATTCGAAATGTTCCCCTATAAATAACAAAATTAATTATATATATATATATATTTTTAATACAAAAATGATGATATATTGGTATATTGTATACAATGGTAACTAATAGTTAGTAAAACCTAAATTCTAAATATATTATATTCAATTTTCTATTCAGAAGTTTAGTTATGGCATTGAGAGGAAATAGTTTTGTTAAAAATTTTGCACTCGAGAGGTTGAGGGACTAATTACATAGCATAAAAATTCTGGATTTGAATCGTGTTCTTTACAAATGTGTAATTGTTATTATAATTTATGAGGTATAATTATGATTCTAAGTACTCTTATTGTGAGTTATTATTTAATTTTAGTTATTAATCAATAAACCACAGACATAGTTTAACAGGTTTATTGCTATAAATAGTATAGTTTTTTGTTGTTTTTTTTTAAATTATTATTAATATGTATAAGTATACCTATTTTGGCATTACAAAATAATAATAAGTTGGAAATTTAAAAAATTATCAAACAGAATATATTTAGAATTTAGAATATAGAACAGCATTAGCAAAAAAATGTAAACCATTGTAAATATTTATTTCAATCATCCTGCTCAAAAATTATGCTATTGTTTTGACTATAAATTTTTTTTTTCTTAATTAAGTTTTGATTACTTAAGTCATTTGCTGAAGAATTCTTTTTATGTTTTCTAATTTAGGATATGGTACTGTTGGTTTTTTAACACAATATATTTTCATACATAGAACATGGTTTTGTTGCTAAGAACCTAGGTGATCATCCATCCAAGATCTAGCAACACTGAGCAGTGCTTAACCATAGCATTATTTAGTAACTGCAATCAAACACTACATAACGCTATGCCTTTATTATAGTTATAATTATTAAGAGTTTGCAATTGAAATAGTTGTTAAACTTTTTAATTTAGATAAAAAATTGGTGTAAAAACCTTAAAAAAAATGTATAGCTATATTGTATAATTATTAATTAATTCATAAATATATAGATATGAAATGATATATTATATTTAAATAAGCAACTAACCACATGTGTCCACTAGGAGCTTGTAAGCTCACATGACTACTATATTGAAATGCTGGTGATTTTTTCGAAAGTACAGGTTCTTGGCCTACCACTCCTCTTCCACGTACAGTCTCTAATGTTCCAGATAAGCTAAATATTCTCCAATGTCTTTCTCTTAACTGAACACTTTGTTCACCTAAATTTTCTAATCGTATACAATATCTCCACTAAACATAAATTAACTGATTATTACTTTATATTATTATTTTATGATTAAAAACTTTCACATTTAACTTACCCAATACACAGAATTAGTTTGAGACTCCCTATAACCCATATAGAATGGTATTACTGTGACTCTAACATTTTCTGTAGTTTCTTTATGAACATCTGACAACTCTAGCCAAGGATGATTTTTTTTTTGCCATGATCGTAATGTTTCTTGTGCCCCAAATGGTGGATCTACAATAAAACGAGATTGTATGATTAATATTATGTAAATAATAAAAAAAAAACAACAAACTTGTCATGTATTTTAAAATCATTAACTGAATTGAAAGATAAGCTTTATCATTATAAACAATAATTTAAGTTCTTAAAATAAATTTATCTATAATTATAATAATCATTTACCCTTATTGGGATAATACATGAGGAATTTATCAAACAGTTCATGTTGTAATGGTTGTTTTTCAGTTGCAGTATATGGAAGTATATCTTCTTGAGCTACATAATCTAGACCAGGTATCGCATACAAACTGCGACTGGTATCTTGATTTCCGAGAAAAGTAACGGCTTCTGTTTGTGCCCTCTAAATTTTATCATAAAAACAATAAGCTGTTAATGCTAATTTGGATAAGCATTCTAAATTAAATTACAATAAATGGACAATCTCTTTCATCTATTAAAGTTTGATAATACGTATGTGTCTTTCCTTTAACATCTTTTCCCACGGTACTGAAATAAAAAAAAAAAATTATTTGAGTTTATTATCATGCAATACTATAAAATCTGAGTAGTTAGTCATACAATCATTAGTAAATACACAAATCTAGTTAAATATTTTAATAAGTATTACTTTTCTGTTTTGATGACAACATCACGGTCGTATACTCTGGCTAACCACGGAAACAATATCACCCCTCTGTATCCAAATATCCGGTGAAAAAACAACTGGCCAGTTTCATATTTTTCAATATGTTTTACTGAATTTATCCGACCCACTTCTATTAATCTAATATTAATAAATGCAACCACAATATCAATTAAAAACATATTTTTTATTATAATTTTAAACACTTGCAACATACAGATATATAATTCAGAGGCTAAAATATATTTCATTTTATATTGCAATAATAAACCTAAGTAAAATAAAATAATTTACAGTGTACAAAGTTTTTAACTGTTAAGATATAAGTACGCTTCTAAGTATATAAGTCTTATATAGGTCTTCAAATAATTCGGTACTGAAGTAATAGTGTTGTACTGTACAATATTAGACTCTGATGTATATATTATATACCAGATACCTTTGCATACTTATTATTTATAGGAAAATTATTTTACCTGACATACGAACGTTTACATAAACACAATATATTGCTCCTTCCAAAATTTTTAAACATTTTTTTCTAACAGGAATGAGCACAAAATAATTAATTGTATTAATTTAGAAAATTGAAAATTCGATGACCGATACACATTATTTTTAATTTTAATAATTTCATTTCATATAATTCAAAGATATCAGATACCTACAATCAGTTTTTATTATCACAGTTAGATAAACAAAAAAAAAAAAAAATCAAGATAACTAATAAATTGATAGTTGATATCATGAGGGCATTGACCTATTGCCATGGTGGTCACCGGTCGATGTATTGTGTATATTATGTGTTACGCTGAATTTATGAAATTGCTGATTGCATGAAACAGGCAGTAAAATTGTTGATTTCATGAAATAAGCAACGTTGTTGCCGATTACGTGAAATCGGCAAGACCTTTTTAAAAATAAAAATATAAAATATAATTAATTTTAAATGAATGTGTTATATTCACGATTTTACATAAAACACTGGAAAATATATAATAAAATTCAATTGAAATAATAAATTATGGGCAAAAAAAAAAAAAATCGAAAGTTATAAAAATAATACATTTAGTGTCTTATTTAAATATATTGGCAACTATGGCCAGTGTGACAGGGTGGCACGCCGAATTACATATCATTTTATTTTTTCTACCCGTGCATTTTTTTGATGAACAATCATACGGCAGGTACAACTTTTAATTTCATACCCTTGTCCTGTCCCAACGAGTTCCTATAATGAATATTCATTTGATTGAACGTCTGCAATCGTTAGGGAAGAGTACTTCGTAGCAGTCAAACTGTTCCGCTCCAATCATGTGGCATGTACTCAGAATCCTTTCTCTAGTTGTGATACGAAATTTTCCATCTTTTTCTTCTATTACAACTGAAAGAAGGTTGGCTGCATATCCTCGCCCTCGATTCACCGACGGGATTGACACCAGAACATTGTCATCAACTTTTAAGGGAGGGAGGATGCTTTTGCCTCTGGCACCATCCTGTTCGCTTGACGTTTTAAATTTTGTGCAGCAATGTTGCGTTGTGTTAGAGCAGAATGATCGGACAATTAACGGTTATTTATATAGGTGCCACTATTTGTAATTATGTCATAATAATGTGTTAGGTACTGAATTCATGCAATTGGCAAGAAAAAATCTGCCCAACTAAGAAATCAGTAATCAAAATTTACCGATTTCGTGAATTTGGTAGCCAATTTGCCGATTATATGTAATCGGCAATTTCATGAATTCGGCGTAACATGTGTATACAGTGGCGTATTTAGGTTTTTGTCATGGGGGGGGGATATGACTTAAATGAAGATACCAATGAGAAAATTGTACAATATATTATAATATTTTAATTTTTGCAAATTTAATCAATTATTGATGAAAATAATAATAATAGTAATAATAATTTTTTAAATAATATGATGACTATAATTATTTGTGTGTATACAGCCTATGGGGGGGGGATTTATCCCCTTAATTCCTCCCGTAAATACGCCACTGTAGTGTATATTATATTTCACCTTGTCTATACACTTCGATCATATTGTAATTTATATTATAATAAACCTATATGATTTAAGATTATAAACTACGGATCGAAGTTTATAATTTATTATCAATTAAAGGTCTACACTCTACAATTGATAGTTGATACAATGATACCCATTGGAATTAAGTATAACCCATAACCCATAAGCACGAATGCACGATTGTAAAATTATTTTTAATGGTGCTCTTTAGTTAGTATTAAATAAAAGTACATGTCTTATTTTATAAGTTAGAGCCATGTAGGTGTATATCATAATTCGTATGTAAATATAACTATGATGCAAGTAATATTTGTTGATAATGGTTTAACCATAAATTTCATATGAAACAGCAACAGCCAAACGGGTATAGAAAAATAAAACGGAAATTTTCAAATAGAACACAATAGTTTAAAACATTCAAGTAAGAGTGGAATATTTTTTGAATCACAATGAAATAATTAAAATTATTTGAGGAGAAATTGTTATTTATCATGTATGAATATCCAATAATGCCGTTAAAATTTAAAATTTATTGTCACTCGTAAAAAAATACTTTTTAAACTATATCCAGTAATAATACTAATTAGTATATAGTTTTATTATTGTACACTTATAGAATGACAACTTTTTTTAAATGTGTACTGAAATTATACTACTACAGTAACAAACTAGTATGGTATAAATAAATAAACAAATTTAATATTACTAGTGAATATTTTATGTTTATTTTTAGATATATAATAATTTTACACAAATACAAAAACCGTAATTTGACATGCTACTCTAGATATATATAGGTACATGGTTTTATGGTAAAGGTTTATAATATAATAATAATAATAATAATAATAATAATAATAATGTTATACATTTATATTTCATTATACAGAAAAAATCAATAAAATACATTTTATTTACAAGATAGCCAATATTCAATCATATACAACATCTAAATAGTTACACGGAAAAATATTACAATTGCTATTTATTATTTTATTATCGAAAGAATTTTTCAGAAGAAATGCTGTAATTAAATTTATTTTCATAGGCAATAATAATTTTGTATTTAACATGAAATTATTCATCCACAATACGTATCATATTAATAATAATTGTTAAAAATAAGTAAAGTTTTATATGAATAAGTTGATTTATATATAATATATATTCATACAATACTTGAAAATACAATCACTACAAACTATTGCACATATAGGATATTATAAATATAATACAAATATCTTTTTTTGTTTTTTAATTTTTTTGTTTTTTTAATTACTGATATTTATATAATATAAATAATTTTAGGTCAAAAATTCAAGAAAAAAATTACAGAGAAAATTTTTAATACAAATGCATTCAGTTAAAAAAATTATAGAATGCATTATTGCACTGTGGATCATTGCCAAACTGGTTATCAACAGGATTTTTCCGTTCTTCAACCATTGGTGATTGTCTACATGCATCTGCATATGTCGACATACCCTGATATTGAGGAGACAATGCCTGACGATCACCATTCATTGGTAACATTATATTGCCATTAGGTTGTGGCTGTGCTTGTCGTTTATATAACGGTGTACGATCAATTTGTTCAATATTTGTGTGTTGTTGACTGAGTGTAAACTGATTACCCAATGGTTTATACAAATCATCTGTTCCACTACCATCTAAATGTGGAACTCCCTGTGACATATTATATTCAATTTAGAATAAATTTATGTATTTTTTATAATAAATTTAAATTTACCTGGGATGGATTCCCAAAACCATTATGATTGATTTGCTGTTTTTGATTTTGCTGTTGTTGAATCAAAATATTTAACAAATCATCAGGAACTCTACTTCCTATTTCAGGAGGAGGTACATTCATTTGCAATGGAATATTTGGTGGTGGCTGTTGAATAGGCGGTGGTTGTTGGATAGTTGACTTTTTGTACTGCGATTGAGATCGTAATAGTTCGATAAACCTAAAATATGAAATAAATTAATATTGAAGTAATTGTTTAAAATAAAATTCTACACATACTTTTGTCCCATTAAAACACCACCATTATCTGTAAGAAATTTCAGCCACTCCACTTGTTTTGACTGAGAAGTCATCATTTCTTCTAAACTAATGTTATGTGGTAACATACCCTAGAATGAAATTAATACCAGATAGGGCAGATAGTATATTTTGTTTAAATTAAATTTATATAGAATTGCTTTTTCGTAAAAATTTACCTCAAGCATTGATCGATCATTGTTGCGTTGTGTTTGTTGTGCTGTAATTGTTTCAGCATGTTTATTGTTCACATCAACCATTGACCTAATATTGAATGGTTGCACCAGTGAAGGATGTTGCATTGCAAATGGTTGTAGTGATGACATGTTCATTTTGTTGAATTGATCTTGAAGTCCCATTAAATTGGCATTTGGTACAATCATATTTGGAGAAGGCAAGTTTACAGGAGTCACTCCAGCAGTATTCTGGACAAATTGAAGATCAGTGTGTCCATTTTGAACTAAGTGAACTAGGCCTGGGTTACGTGGAGGTACTAAACCGGGTGGTGGCCGAATTTCTTCCTCGTTTGGTTTTTGTATTGACGGCTGAAGTATAGGTCTCGGAAAAATATTTGGAGCAGTTGTTGTTGTTAGTGGACCAAGTGGCCACATTTGAGAAGGATTTATGATTGGTTGTCGTAGAGAAATAAAAGCTGGTGGAGGTGGTTGAGTAATAGAAGGTATATACAATGGAAATGGAAATATGGGCGAAGAAAATAAAGGTGGTGGTTGAGAAAACCTTATAGGTGGTGGTGGTATGGCTGCATTAAAAGTTGCTAAAGATTGAGGAATCTTTATATAAGACTCTTGTTGGTAACGCCTAGGTACAAATTCTGGAGCCAAAGGATTTAAAATATATGATTTCTTTAATTCGAGGTTATCTAACAAATTTCGTAAATGAATCCATGTGATACCATTAAGACTATGGTTTTCATCACATATTTGAATGAAACGTTCCCAGACTTTTCTACATCGTCCAATTGAACAAAGTGCAACAGGGTCTCCAACCACTGCAACAAGACTCTGTGCACGGGTAATGGCAGTGTTTAGCAACTTTGAGTTAGATAAAAATCCATAGTCCATATCATCCATGCCAAGTTTACTTATTCCACTGTTAGATTTCTCACCACCTCCTACATTATTGGCCAAACACGTTCGTCTGGTTCTTACAGTACTCAGAAATATTGCTCTGAATTGTTTGCCTAAAAATAAAAATACCATTAATTTGTATTTCAGACACAAATTTGTAATACATTATACAATAATTATTTACCTTGTACATTGAGTACTCTTTCAACAGATATGCCACCCATACGTCGTTTACGTAATTCTGATCTAATTCTGAATACTTGATCTGAATAAGGAGTCATAATACCAATAGAATGTTCATCAAATGCTCCCCATGCAATTGGCCAATTTTTTCGTAATTCAGATACTCGTTCAACAACTTCATAAACTTCAGCGTTATTATAAAATGCAGTTGAATTACTATCTTGTATATCTTCACCCCGAGTTGTAAAAAATGTCAATGGATATAAACTATCATGTTGAGGTTGATTACCTTTGCTTACAAGTTTTTGTTCATAAAACAATTCAGATGTGAACTAATAAATAAATAAAAATTAATAAACATTCGTCTACCAAGATTATAATGGAAACATACATGTATAATAGCTTCATGTGCTCTGTAATTTTCACATAATAATATTTTAGAAGCAAATTGTCCAGGATAGTGATCATACAGTCGTTCTAGTAATGATACATGCAAATTCCTTTCTTTTGCAAATTTTGAAAAAATTTCTGGGCTTAGCTAGTTTTTAACAATTAGTGAATGAATATAAAAATTTTTTTTTTACTAAATTTGCATTCAAAATTACCTGCATGTGATCTCCAGCTAACACAATTCGTGTGTCAGTATTAGCAAGTGCCAACGGCATAATAGCTTCACATTCCATAGCTTGAGCAGCTTCATCCAAAAGAATATGCGTAAAATGACCTTCAAAAATAAATTGGTTTAGTATCAATGTATGATAAATTGGATAAAAAATATACCTTTTTTCAACCCAACAGATGACAAAAACATAGAAATACTTAATGTTACTACTATCACTCGATAATTTAAGATTTCTTCTAGTGTTGGTAGTCTAAATGAACCATTTTGATCCAAAATACAGTACTATAAGGAAAAAAAAATTGAGTATATGCTTTCAAGTAATTGCACAATATAATAATTTCAGTAATGTTACTGTAATAGTATAATATGCTACTAAAGACAAGATAAACACAGGTATTTCTTAAGTGTTAACAGCAGAATTAAATGACATAATAATTTTTGAAAGAAATGAGAGATTGGCTTTTTAAATAAAATATTTAATTTTAATAATTGTAACATTTTGGAAGTCTATATAGATATAGATATATCACATTTAGCACACACTGCATAAGACATCATCTCAGTTATCTTACACATGTATACATAAATTTTGAAATCCTAGATTATTAAAAAAAAAAATAAAATAATAGAATTAATATTTTGAATGATAAAGAATGATTTAAATTAAATTAAATATATAAAGGTTAACACTTTGTTTATACTTGATTTTAAAATGTAGAATAAGAGGGAAAATTCAAAATTGAGATATCCAGGAATCATATTTAATTTTTATCTAGACATAGATATAGATATTAATCCACTTAAAATATCCAAGCCATATTAAATATTTAAGTCTATAATGGTGTTTTAAGTAATATTATATTATCATCAATTTTCAAAATATATTTATAGATGTTGAATTTTATCACCTTTTGAACAGTACTATGAACAGTAGACACCCAACGCTTGTGATAATATATCCTCAATGGTTTTGCTTCTGTGTGTCCATCCTCAACATATGGATGTAAATAGTCTTTTATATACAAATCTGCAGCACTATTTGAATGAGTACAAACTAAGATTCTTGTATTATCTTGTAATAATGTTTGTTTGATGGCTTGGGCTAAAGTATAAGTTTTGCCTGTACCAAAGGGACCTAAGAAAACAGATATATTTAATGTAAAAAAAAAAAAAACAACTATTTTCATTATTTTATAAACAAACCAATAATTAGTATCGGGGGTAAACTAATGTTTGTAGGAGTTGTGATTGCAATAACAGCTTCTCTTTGTTTTACATTAAGTTTTTTGTCAATTATTTCTACCCATTGTCGTTTTGGACTCCATGGTATAATTGGTTCCAAAAATGTATCAGGAAAAATAATTTTGAAGTCAGCTATATGATCAATAGCATAATGCCATTCACAATATGGTATTCGATTTAATTGAAACTGAACATCAAATTTTACATTTGTATCTGCTTTAAGACCAAGACCAGTAACTGTATTGGCTGATAATCTAAGATATATAACATTTTTTCCTTTATCTTCAATTTGTGCTTCATGAACAGTTCGTTTTTCATCAGATGACTTTTTGTCTAAAATAATATTATACAATAAAAATAACAATTTAAATATTATAAAAATATAAAGTTTTTACCTTTAGCTGGGGAAAGATATACAGTGGTACAATTATTTAAAATTAATCTTCCGGCAGAAGTGTCTTCAGATACATCTGTTCCAAGTTGTAATAATGCAAACAACTCATTATTATGAGAATATTTTGCTGTACTAGCTGCAACACCACTAGGTGAAAGTAGATAGCAGCTAGCCAATTGTAATTTTGCAGTCAAATTGTACTTGGCCACCTAAATTCAAACAATTATATTATTTACATAAGCATAAATAAAAAATAACTAAAAGAAATAATAATAATATATAATACTTGTTCATAACGTGCTAGTTCTTCAACATATAATAACTCGTGAATTCTTGCTCTATAATTGTTCCTTGTAAGTTTCTTCTCTGTAATAGTGGAATGAGTCAAAGCAAATGTTAAAGGACAAGGTGCAGCATAACTCAATAATAAATTTTGCTCTCTTTCCCTATCATCTTGTGCTTGAGTAGGTCCAATTGATGATTGAAACTCCACAATATTTGAGTTACTCGGATTCCATCGTTCCATAGAAGATAATATTAACTCTTTGTGAATTTCTTTGACTTTACCACAATCTGTCACAGGTATAACATCTACACAAAGATGTTTAACCAGAACTGGACCAAGACCAAAATCAAATACTACTGCTTGTCTGAAGGTTCCATAAATATTTGTTGTAAAATAAACTTTGATCTGATGTCTTAATTTGGAAGACAAGGATTGAGAAACAGGATGTTGAGCTTGAGATACCCACTCTTGATCATTTGGCGGTTCCATATCAAAAGCAACTTGTTGCAAACCATTATCAACTAAAATATGTTTTAGAGAAAAATGATTACGATAAGTATCTTGAAGTAAAGCAACAGCTTGAAGAGATGAAGTTGTTTCTAGAACAAATGTCCATTCACGGTTACTAGTTTTGGATTCAACAGTAGTTACTAAGTCACAATCATGAGACTCGTCAACACTGTCTAAACTTTCGCGCATAATTTTTTCTGGATTAGTCGACTGTACCCACCTGTAAGAGTATTAATAACAATAAAATCTTTTTTTAATTAAATATTTTTCAAATTATTATTTATTTACCTTTCTAATAACTGTTCTGTATAAGATTTTCCATAAAGTTTATTTTCACTAGCACGTTGTAATTTCATTCGTCTGTACTCAAATCTTTCTTTCCATTCAGTTAATTCTTCCATACCATGTGCTTCAACACATTGAGCTCCATATTTGCAAGAATTTTCTGTTCCTTCTCCTTCCGAAAAAGCTTCACATAAGCTAAAATTAAAACTCATTAATAAAGTGAAAAATCAATAACTTAACTAGGTTATCATACGTATAGCATTCAGAAGAGAATCCTCGTGGTGGTGGACGCCATTTCCAATCACGTCCTTCATCAGACATAATTACTGTTTGATGGTTTTCAGTAGCACAATGTGCCCGAAGCTGATTTTCTAAATGGAATGATATACCACAATATGTACAAGAATACCTCATTTCATTTTTCTGTGGAAATTTTAATTCTGTTTGCTTTTCTTTTCCTGAAAATTGTGTTATTATCAATTAGTCTTCAATATAGTAGATACTAAAAGCATTAGAATTCTTACTAAGATTAGAAATAAAAATGTCTATACAGTTAAATAATTTATAGTTAATGTGTTACATTAGCAATATAAAATAGTTTTATATATCTAGGTTTAATAGTAGATAAATTAGATAAAAGTTTAGGATAGCTGTGATTCTAAGTACATGCATTATTATTCATTATAGATTATTTGTTTTTTGTATTTTTATGATCAAAATAAAGTTTTATTGAATAATAATAAAAAAGTATAACATGTAAAGTAAATAAGTTTACTCAAAACATTTTTCTTACCTATTAGCACAAACATTATTAAATTTAAACTAAATAAGTATGAAGAAAAATGAATGGTTAAAATGTTTTAATAATAATTAATAGACATTTATCTTTTTTAGATAAATTGTAAGTTTTCAAGATGACATTTATTACTTCTTTATGAAAAACACAAGAGCAGAATTTATATTGTAGTTTTTAAATAGATAATATTTTATAGAATAATATCTTAATAAATTATAGATTTGGTATTTTGATGTAACATATAACAGTATAAAAGTAAAAAGTTTAAAATTAAAAGATACTTATAATTTTTAATTTAAATGAAAATATTAGCTCTTAGATTGAACTATTAAATTTTCTAAGTTACAATTTAAATTAATAATATAAATGTAATAAATTGAAAATCAGTTCAAATTTGATATATATTATAGAAATCTTAAAATGAAGTATCTAATATTTGGTAAATAAACATATTTATGATGGATTACATAAATTATAACTATATTTTTAATTAACCAATGATCACTTAAACATGATTTAATGATCCATGATTGTCTATTAAATTATAGAGAACCATTAAATGATTTAATTTATAAACAACTCAATATTATTGTAATAATGTATAGCAATTGATAATAATATAAATTACCATTTTAATAAATATGAACTTTAAAAGTTAGTTTTATTTTAAATATTAAATAAACTTTTAAAATATACCTTTGGAAATAAATAAATAAAAAGTTAAGAAGTTACAGGTAATATTTAACAAAAAAAAAGTATTATTTATTGATATAAATAATTGATGATAAAAAATTACTTAGTTATTTATTTTAAGTTATTGTCAATAAATTACTCACTAGTTGGTTCTTGGAAAACTTCAGTGACTTTTGACTGATAATTTGTTCTTAAATCATATGATTCGCCATTATGCTTTGCTATATTAGAGTAAGTCATACCGTTTTCTTGTCCTGAATAGTAAAAAATATTCAAATCAATGTAAAACAGAAACCATATGTTATAATGGTAAATTGTTACTTACCAGTTCCATTAAACCGTTCAAAAAATTGGCTGTTTCTCTCAAAATGTTGTATGCCATTATTATTATTACTAGATGATTCAAATAGTTGGCCAACCATTTTGTCATCATCAACTAGTTCAACAGGATGCTTTCTATTCCTTCGACTTTGCTCCCTTACACCAGTAGCAATCCAAGAATCTAGTCTATCTCCAAACAGCAAATCCTCATTGATCTGGTTCAACTGATCTTCTAATGTCTGTACTGGTGTAGGGATGTCTTCTTTTGACATACTCCACACTAAGCGCACAGTATCCAACATTTTTTTGGCTTCACTGTTATTGTCCGACCTCACCACCCATTCCAAGGCAGCTTGTTCTGCTTCACCATATCTTTTCAATGCAAATAGTGCATTGACTAGATTACGACGTACACGTGAACTATATGCATTTTCGTCGTCAGTCAACATAGATATGATGTGTCGGCAATCGTGAATGACGTCTTCATATTTTTTCAATTCCAGATTACATTGTGACCGACCTAATAGATAGCCAACAAATCTTTCCGATGGCAAGCTTTTGGCCACTGCGTTTTCCAACAACTGGTCGAAACAGAAAAATGCATTGCTCCATTGTTTGTGGTTCAGGTACTCGATGGCTCTGTGCTCGACCTCAGCGAAGTTGATCTCCATGTATGAGCAAGAGTGTAAGAATTTGGTTGACTACTGTCGTGCGACTTATGTGATCATAGTTAATACAAGTTTGTTCGTTTGCAATATAATTAATCATTAAGTTTTGAACATAATACACATTTAGGCGTAGGAAAAACATAAACAATGGATAAACTTCCCAGTTCCGCTTATCAATTCAATTTTTATTCTTATCAAGATAATTTTCTTTCCAATTTTAATATTATTGATGTTTTGGAAACCCAAGGAAATTGTATTAATCTTGTCAGTGTCGTCGTTGCCGTTCCTAACATCTGACTAGGGGTTTTCCCGCTCATTTTTAGCTTTGATTGATTATAATATGATGTGTGTGATAGTGTGGCTGTGAAACATGAGCATTGACCATTGAGCACTTTTAAATTACTTCTTAGTTTTTAATCTAAAGTCTTGCTCTGGGTCTGTAATTAGTGGTGATTAGTGAATAGTGAATACAGTGAGTCGAACATAGACAAGTATACTTTTTACTATTAATTTCCTAATATATTCAGTGTTCGTTAGTCGTCATCAAAATTCGGGCTTTTGTAACCCGTATTTAATAACAATAATTAATTGACTTATCGCATCTAAGAATTCGTATTCTTCTCAATTGTTTAGTGGCATTTTTACATTCCCATCGACCACCAACGTATTTTATTGTTACTTTCATTGAGACAGGTGTTTAAAGTATTTTACAAATTTTCCAGTAGTTATTTTATCAAACGTCAACATGCCTGAGCGTCTTGAATTCATCGGCAATTACGATGAAACGGATTTTGAACGGCCTTCGTTCAATTACGTAGACATGTCATCGGTTTTCCACCTTAAGGATGTGAACTACACTAGACAGTTTGCGCACATTTACGCTCACAGACTGGTGCAAATGAGAGAAATTCTTCAGGCAAAAATACATCAAAAATGGGGTATTGTAACATATTGAATAACAGTATTTATTGTTATCGTCTATGCTAGGATATTAATTCTGATGAAAAATATGCAGGTTTAATAGAATAAAAATGCATCTGCAAAAGTATACAAATCCCAGAATTTGATGTTATTGTTTCTTTAAGACTATTAAGTTAGATACTATTTATTACTTTATCAGTATTAAGAATTGAACTATAAATATATTATATATATACATTATTATTTTGTAAAATAGAAAGTTGTAAATTACAAATTTATTACATTTAATTTTAATGGAATTTCTTTTTTAACTGGCATTAGTTTATTTATTTTTTGAATTATTTAATGTGAAAATAACCTAAATCTTTGAATAAATAAAGTTGTATGTGATGGTGGTATCTCGCGTTTGTACAATTCAAAAAAAATAATATAAATTTATGTATAATGCATTGAATATGAAAAATATAAATAGTTAAATTTATTTTTTGACTCCAGATATAAATTGATTTAAAAAAATTAGTAATTATAAGTAGTATATGTGGTATAATAATGAAAATAAATATTGGAGTTTTACATAGAATACCCAAAAATATATTTAGCCCAAGATATTAGAGTGAAAGTGTAGTAGTGTGTTATTTTAACCAATTAATTAAATATTTTTTAAATAGTAAATGTTTGAAGTGTTTTCAGTGGTCTCTTTCTCAAGGTTTCATGCCATATCTTAAGAATTTTATATTATCCACATTTTGTACATTTCATTGTTTTTATTTAACACAAAATGTTATAGTCTGCTGATAAACAATAATAGTTTGTAATTTATATGACATTATTTTATAAATGTGGTTTTTATTTTGATTAGGTGAAGAGTGTGATATTTTAAAATTATCTGAGTTACATGATAAAATTGGTAAAGAATGTATTGTAATTGGCACATTATTCAAACATCAAGAACTAAAACCTAGCATTTTGAAAGAAATTAGTGAAGAAGTAATGTATAATTCATATTAAGTGCATCATAAATATATTTAATTTTTGGTTGATATTTATGTTTTTAGAATAATTTAATTCCTCAACCACCTAGAACTCATTTTGTTTCCGATACAGATGAAGTTATATTAGAAGATGAATTACAAAGAGTGCCTTTAACATTCGACGGTTTGAATGGTGATAGTTTGTCTTTAAAAAATATTATGACTGGATGTATTATAGCAGTAAAAGGTATTCCTCAAGATGGTGGTAAATTTGACGTACTGGATTTTTGTTGGCCCACACCATCAATTGCATCTAAAGTACTTACTACCCAGAGTTCTGGACATGATAGGTAAAGAGCTTATTAATTATGTGTACATATTTCTATGAGAATCTTTTATTTAGTGTTGATATTGTAAATAGTATAATACACTAACATCAAATTTATTTTTTGTAGATTTCTTGTATTGATAAGTGGTTTAGAATTAGCCACTAATATTGCCACTAATTTTCAAGTACAATTATTTGTAGATTGGATATATGGTCTACTAGGTGATAAAAAAGAAAACAGTAAAGTTTCAAAAATTGTTCAAGTTTTAATAGCTGGTAATTATTTTTGAAGTGTAGAAATATTAACATTTTATTATTTTAATAATTTTTTAATCAGGAAATAGCATACGTAGTACTCCAGTGAAAAAGCCAAATTACCGTGATAAAATAGATGATTTTCCTCGAGACATTCAAGCAATTAAACAGTTAGATGACATATTATTGCAATTAGCTGTAAGTATAGTTTTATTTATTTTCATTTTCTAAATTTTAATAAAATCATTGTAATTGTTAGTCAACTGTTGACGTCCAAATCATGCCTGGAGAATTTGACCCTACAGATAGAACATTACCACAGCAAGCATTCCACAAATGTTTATTTCCCAAAGTAAATATTTGCATGTTTTTATAATTATTATTACAAAATTAATATTTTTAATTTAAATTATCTAAGGCTTCTGGTACTAAAACCGACTATCCTCATGTGTTGAAATTTTTCAGGATGTGTAAAATAATACTAGGTTATTGTATCAAATTTTGTTTATTACGCATCTCTATTTGTATGACATAAGTTTATTCAATAATGGACAAGAAAATCTGGTTTATTCACCAAATTGTTGATAAAATTATTCTTTATAAAAAATTTAAAAATACAAATTTTGAAAAAACGAATATGCCAGTTTTTGTTCCAGACCTTAAGTTGGTTTTCCTGAATTAGTAAAAATTGATACACAATCTCTAGTTTTTTAAATTAAATCACAAAAATTGCTTATTATATATATAGTACACTCTTGCCACATTTCTAATTAATGGGCCTCACTACTGCTTCTATCACAAGCAAGCAGTAATGAGATAAAGAAAGCGTACCGTTAGGATTATAGTATTTCAAACAAATTCTGACTGTTATCGTTTGTGGTTCACAATCTATTTACTTTTTTTAAAGGCTTCTGAATATTCAAGTTTACACAGAGTAACAAATCCAAATCAGTTTGAAATTGAAGGCCATCTTATAATTGGATCATCTGGACAAACTGTACAAGATGTTCTTAGATTTACAAACTTGGAGGATCCAATTGATATTATGAGCAGAATATTAGATTGGGGGCATCAAATACCATCTGCTCCAGACACAATTCGTAAGTACTGTCTTTGTATAAATATATCATGTAAGTTTAGCAGACCGCCCACAGCTAACCTAACCTTCCTGTTTTACTTGCACTTACTACCTAGTTTAATATAATCACGAGAAAGTGGAACATTATACATTATACATGTATAATATTATGGGGGTATGTAGGCATTATTTATAGCAGTCTTGAAGGGTGATATATAGAATGTAGTTTTTCGCTTCCCTCCTGAGAAAAATTTATCATGATTGAAATATTATGTTAATTTTACTGATATTTTATTTATTGACCAATAAAATTATTTTCTGAGACATGATATTATAGTGTAGACAATTATAAGGGGATGTTCGTTTAAAATATGTCTATTATAACTTTAAAATTTTGTTTTTTTCTTTGTATAAAAAAATGTAAGCTTATTATTTTATTTTAGACCAAAATATTTCAATGTTATTCATTTTGATGGATAGTTACATATCATAATAATAAAATTTATTCAAATTTCTTATTCTTGAAATAATTTTAACACCAAAAGAATAATTGAAAACATCTATGCTGATTGGAGGGAAAATAAGTTGTTAACATAATAAAGATAAAACTTCTATTTTACACTATTACATATTTAATGTACTTGTTTGAAAATAAACACTTTTAAATATACCGTGTTTTGAATAGATAACGTGTTTCTCATGATAACCATATCTAATATATTTCAGATATATATTTTTAATTCAAATTAAATTATTATTGTTAATAGCATGTTATCCATTCGAAGGACAAGATCCATTTATAATAAAAGAAATGCCAGATGTGTTTTTTGTATCAAATCAACAATCATTTCAGACATCATTAAAAACAAATAGCAGTGGTAATTTATAATTTTAATTATATGTTCATTATATACATTTACATGTGTCCTTCCCATCTTACAAATGTAAAACCTATCAAATTTGAGTTCATCAGAATCAACATTAAGTTAGAGTTAAAATTTTAGGATAAATTGACATCCTTATAAACTTAAAGGTGAAAACACTGTTCTCTAATCAGTTAAGTATGAAATTTTAATTTTAAATAACTTGAGTATTCAAAATATTAAAATAATCATAACTTACTTAAAGATTAAATTTCACATATTGTATTAAACAAGATTTTACTGATAACTCTTATATTTTTAAGTTGGATCATAGATCCAAAAATTATTTTTACTTATACAAAATTTACTGAATGAAAAAATTCCTATGGTTTACATTTGTAAGATAAAAATAATACTTAAGAGTGTGAAGTTTCTGAATAATTTAAATTTAAAATGTTTTGTTTCAGGCAAACCTACTAGACTTATAAGCGTACCGTCTTTTTCTTCAACTCAAACTTGTATTTTACTGAATCTTAATAACTTAGAATGTTATCCAGTATCATTTAAGACATTTGCTCCTTAATATCATTCAATTTTATTTAATATTGTATAGAAGATAAAAAATATTATAAATTGTATTATACATTAACAAAAATTATTTATTTTTACTATGTGCATTTAAAGCAAGTTTGATTTCTTCAGGTGTCAAAATATTCAAAGATGAAAGTGCAGCTAAAAGCTGTTCCCGTGAACAGCCAACAAAGTTTTGCTTCAAAAATACTGGAAGTCCGCGGTAATGGTCTCCCAATGTATATAGAGGAACTCTAATTGTTCCAAGTACCTATAAAATTATTTAAAATTATCTTAAGTTTTTTTTCAATTGATAAAATAATAATAAAATTACTTCATTTCCATAATCTTGTGAAAGCAAAGCTCGTCTTTCAATTTCAATCAATTCAGTTATATCAACTTTTAATTTGTAAAAGTGTAAAGCTAGCTTTTTTTTCTCACTCCAATGAGATATAATATGATCATCATGTTTGACTGAGTGTATAGTGGTATCCAAATTAATTTCTTCTTCCATTTCTCTATTAACAGCTGTAACAAAGTCTTCACCAGCATCAATTAATCCACCAGGAAATCCAAAATATCCATCATATCGTAACTGCATCTAACATAACACAAAAATGATTCAAATTTAAAAATTTGTAATTTTCTTATTTTTTCACTAACTTACAAGAATTGAAGCTCGAGGATTATAAATACCAAATACTTTTTCATCGTTTTCTGCATATATTAAACAATGAGCAGCTTGAGTTGAGCATGATGTATACTTTTCATTGTATATTTGAGATTTAGGAATGACTATAAACTCATTTGGTTCAGGAAGTCTTCCAAAACCTTCAGTACTACCTAACCATCCCCATGTACGATCTCCAGTAGAAGTCATCACTAAAATAAAATAAAATAACACAATTATTAAATAAGGTTATTGATAGAAATATTAACTTTAGTCCACTGAAACATTTTTTATCTAATCTAATCAACAATACAATGTTATATAGCAACCACTTGCATCAAACAAAGATATTATAAAATATGTTAATAAGTTCTTTGACAAAAAAATTACCTAACCTATGAAACATAATTAAAAATTTAAATTATGTCAAATAATTAATTATTCATAGAATTGTTTGATAAAAATTTGTAGAAAATAATCATTAGAAATGTTTGTGTCATACTAATATAATTCACAAAATCATTAATAATGATGTATAACTGATATTTTATTCAAATATTTTTTATTGTTTAACAATTATTTATTACTTTAATTAGTAAATATTTAAAATAAAAGAATTACCTGAATTTTTTTCTGAATATAAAGAATTAATCAAACAACAACTATCTGGAGGTCCTGAGTAATCTAAATTGTATAGAAAAAAACAATAAATATTGAATTAAAAGTATAAAAATAACTAGTAGGCATTTAAAATAAATTTATAAAATAAGACTAATGTAATTATAGTAAAAGCTGCTTATTAGGAATACTTATGGATCAAGAAGAAATATGTTAATTTTAATTGATTACTTCATGTAATTTTAGAAGCATTTTGTTCAACTTTAATTAAGTCACACATCTGCCTTAAACTTAAATCTCAGCATTTAAATATTTTTAGAGAAATATTAATCACTAACCAACTTTATGTATGCATGCCAAACCTTAACTAAAACTATAATAGTAAAGAATGTAGTAGGTGATACTGTATTCACATTAAAGAATACTAAAAATAAACAAATTAATTGGATAAGTGAAATTTAGTATCAATATGTAATAACAGTAAAGATAAGATAATGTAATACTATAGCAGTATAGTAATACCTTGGCCTTAATTGTTACAATAATCTAATTTATTTTCTATATTTTTATAAGCAACCATTTTGTATTAATCAGTAGTGTTCCTAATAAAAGGCTTTTAATAAAAATAACTAATTTATATTTATACTTATCTAATATTTTAATATCTGTAATTAATTAACCATTATTTTAATTTCATAATTTAGTTTCTAATAGAACTTTATTATTTATGCTTACCAGTTAAATTGACAGATGGAATTGCATAGGGTTTTAACTGCATAGAATTTTCATGGAAACATTTTTCATGAAAATGGCTTTTACATATAGTTATATTCAAATATAAGTTTGTGTCATACATTGTGCTTAATCCAGTTCTTTTTGACCATATATGCAATAAACGTTTATCGCCAAATGGGAAATTATAAAGTGGTAATCCTTTTGGTGTTTTACAGTTAGGAACAAAGCAAACTGGTTCAACATATTCCCTATAAAATTAATTTTTATTAATTAGTATTCTAAAGAAAAAAAAAAAATTGACAAAAGAAAATAACACACTTAACTATGTAAGTAATTTACAAATAAGATTTCTTATTTTAAGAGGCACCTGAAGAAAATTTGTAATTGATTGAAATGGATTATCTTCTATTTTTACAATTTAATTTAAGCTGAGACATGAATAAGCATTGATAATTATGATTTGAACATTTGCCATTGAAATTATTTATTTTTATCGAGAGGTTAATTTTTTTTCTTGTTAATAAATACATTATTATTTTCAATTCATAATATAGATATGAAGGGAAATACAAAAGATACAATACAAATAACAAATAACGTATATCATATACTAATGAATGTTACAGCATGAATATACACCTATAACGGCATCAAAAGTTCCAGAAATGAAAATTGTTAAGACAAAAAAAATATGCTAGGATATTTCAGATAAAAATGAAGGAAATACTGATATTATCACTTTAAGTGTTTGCAAGTCTAATTTTTAATTTTATTTATTTTCTTTTGATATTTTGTTCAATTATACAGAACAAAAGTACCTTACACAGAACTTTTAAAATTTATATATATTACAGACAATGTGAATTGTGAATACAAATAATTTTTTTGCAATACCTATTTTTTATTATTAATATTTTATTTATTTATGATTATTATTTGTTACAAAGATAACTCATATCCAAGCTAATATCATGATAAGTTGTTAAACCAGTATTAACCTATCTACATTGATAATAGTAAGCCCAAACTTTAGTGATACATGCACGGAGTATGAGTATTTGCGATGGCTAACTTATTATATAATAATAAATGTTGAATTGTCTCCATACAGATAATAATAGATTTTATGTTTATAAATTTTTTTTAAATTAAAATCATGAAATCAATTCAAAGCTTACTCAAGATTTTTTGAAATTGAATCATTATCATTATCATCATTTTTCCATTTCAAATTATATTGCTTAAAAATATTTTTTACTAACATACATTCATCTGTATTCATTATAGATTTATTAAGATTACCTTGTTCTTATCTAAATTAACAAAAAAATAAATAATACATACAAATTAAATCTTACGTAATGGTAAGAAAAAACATACGTGTCAATTGTATGATCTGTTTTACTGATTTTATTTTCTGATTCTATGGGGAATCCAAAGACTTTTGATTTTCTTCTGAAACATTAGTTTTTAAGTTTATATTTTTATAATAATATTCAGATATCAAATACTCATAAGTAAATAGACATTGGAATATATTTTAAACCATTTATTAAATATAAGAACCTATATTCAATTGAAAAATATAAAAACAAAAGAAACATAATGATGTACTGAAAATATTAAAATCCATAATATAACAGATTGCTACGTTTTTTCCTAGCATCCATAACTATCTATGTATATTTAATTTAAACTTACTTATTTATAAATAAATTTTTCGCATGTTTTGAATTAGTACTATCTGAAAAAATCGAAGGAACTGCACTGCTTAACAAATCAGTTAATTTTTCTCCAGATAGTGATTTTTTGTAATCATCTTCAGTAAAATGTTCACAACAGACATTGAAATACTTAGAAGGAGTCGAGTTATCGATATTTAATGCTTTTAACCATTTATCAAGTAATTCTGGATCATGAAAAGGAAGTCTGAAATATCAATGCATAATTAATATTAGAACATTTAAAGTTTAAATTTAAAACAATCACAGTATTAAATGTTATGAACAATAAATCGATTACACTGATTGCAGTACTACACAGTTCTTTAATTAAAAATTAACAAAAAAACAAAAAAAAAAACAAGAATTTATATTTCAAATTAAAAATTTACATTTCAAAAATGTTTAAACGTTTTGTAATTTTGTATAAATAATATGGGTAATGGGTTTTTCCGTGTATAATATATTAATATACCAATAACCACGTAAAAATTATTGGACAAGATAATGGTTTTAGTTTTAAAATTATTTTTTGTATCGATTATTAGTCTTGTGGTTTATCTTTATTTTATTATTATTACGAGGTTTTAAAGAATGTTATTGATTATTATTTAAATACCTTACCGATGAAATATAATTCCATTTCCTCTTATAAATTTGTTCTCACAGTTCTGAACCGAACAGCTTAAGACCATATTCTTTGTTACAGTTTAACGAATTCGAGATTTAAAGCACAATATTTTGTTAATTTGTAGAAAATATTAAGTTTAAAGTGTAGTACAAGTAGAATACTGACACAATAATAAACAATATAGTCTAATTAGTCTATACTCTTTTATTCTATAGTCTATCTATACTAACATTATAAACAGTATTAACTATAACTTAACTGCTTAACGCTCATGAAGTTTTATCATTTGTATTTTAGTCCGTGATCAAAATTCAGAAGTCGGCGATAAGTGTTAACTCAAATTAAATAGCCCATTATCAATAACACAGATACCGTGGTTGTAATCTTTTGAATATGTTTGCATGCACATTAGACACAAATACTCAATCAAAAAGAAATTCATGGTAAACAATTTTTTTGCAAACGAAGGCCATGAGTAATTTATTTATGGAGGTGCCAAATTGGTGGTAATCGTGATATATAGAAGATTTTATTAACTTTTTTACATTATGGTGGTATGCATGTTATCAATTCTCAGGTACTTCCACAGATTATATGATCTGTGGTACTTCACTATCTACTGTAGCCCACAGATGTATATATCAATTATATCATAATATTGATGTCTGTGCTGTTGGCTAACAAGTTTCAAGTACTTATTGGTATAGTAGTACAATCGTATTTTGGCAAGTTCCTCAGAAAAAATGATTTTAATCATTTAATTCCACGGTTGTAGATTAGATGAGTTCAGAGTTGATTTGAAATAATGATTATAAATACATAAAATATAAAATGTATTTATTATTTTTGCTAAAGGAATAAAAACTTATACATTTACAAAAAGCTGTTTTCAATACATGGTATAAATTTTGACATGCTAGTATAAAAATTAATTGAGGGCTGTAATGCAACCAGGATTTTTTCAAGGGTGGAGGAGTCCAAAAATATTACTTTAAAATAGCAAGAAAATTTTATTATTTTATTTTTTCGATTAATGTAAAGTATAAAAAAGAAAAATATTCTTTTTGCTCATTAATTGTTTAAAAAAACAAGTAATTTATTACAAAATCGAAGCATACCATGCGTTTAAGTGGGATGACCGGACTCGGGGATCTACTTATGTACATTAATTTTCAGCTACAATTATGCAGGTAGTCTAAAAACACAAATAGTGTCTTCAATTTTTATTTCAGGCTTCAGCTAATAGGTAGTATTTATAATCAATGGTAGAACATATTTAGTTCAATACTGTGCTGTTTAAAATACTAGTTCCACAGTAAATATTGAATAAAGTACCTATGTAGTTGAAATTTTCAATTGAAAATCATAATAAGTTATAATTAGCATCATAAACAAGCAAAATTCTCAGATTTAATCCTGATTTATTTTCCAAAGAATAATAAAAACCTATAAAGGAAATAAATTAAGTAGGTATGTAGAAATAATAATGAACAGTTGATTATATATTATTTAAGATTTTTTTGGGTAAGGGAGGCTAAGCATCCCAAGCCCATCCATCATAATTAGATTTGACATGTAAAATAAATTAATAACTTAATTGAAAAAATACTTAATACTGTTTGTTTATTGATTTATTAATTATTTCATAGTTACATGTCAGTATGGAAAAAAAAGAAAATTAACGCTTAACAAAAAAATTAGTAAGTAAAAATCCATGGTTAACATTAAAATTTTCTTATGGTTGTTATTGCTAATATAAATTATTACATTGCTTTTGATTGGTATAACTGATTAAAGAAAAAAATGTTAATAAATAAAATTAAAAAGTAAATATCCTTATATAATATAAAAATAATAAAAGAATTGAAATTCTAAAATCATTAATAGTGCAACATGCACAAAACTGATAAATCAACACAAATATGTTGTATTATGTTCTACTTGAACGTCTTAAATTAGATGATGGGATTATTGGATCAGTTTTATAAACAAGAGCTTCCATGTATGCTTTACGAACAGATTTACGGTCTGCTGGTTTTTTTGATTCTGTTAGCTTAATATCATCTAGTTCTTGAGTAACACCGAGTGGTTCCAGTTTGTTACGAGGTAACCATTGCCTAGTAAAGTATTTAATCAATTTTAGACATGTTGAACACTAATAACAATAATTACCATGAAATATAATGATATAAATATTTATTAATTATCATGATATGACTTACCATGTACGCTTAGAATCAAAAAACAATACTAAGTACACAAGCTCTTTGTAATTACTTGCCAAATTTAGTACTTCTGATGGAGGACTTGGAACAGGTATACCATTATGCAAGTGCCCAGGTGGCATGTTTGGGTCAATTATCTTAAAAAAAAAAATTAAATTGAAATATTTAACTTAATATTTTACATTTATATTAAGTATTACCAATGCAGGATACCACGGATATCCTCTACACTTAGCCCAGACCAATTGTAATTGTGCAAATTCATCCTTTTTTCTTTTGTTCTTTTTCTGATTATGAATCGGATGAACTTCCTGATGAGCTACTACCATCAGAAGATGAACCACTTCCACTAGTGCTACTAGAATTTGAACCAGATTCAGACCATAAGTAGCTTGATTCTTTATCTGATGAAGAATCATCTTCTGTCTCAGTTTTCTTACCTAACAATTCAATAATTATTATTAAGTGATTCATGAAAAGTTAATTTAAAGCTAATAAAATAAATTGTATAAACCTATAAGTAATTGATACTAATTTAATTTAATTAACATTTTATGTATGTAATATGTATAAACTGTGACAGTGTATTATTAGAAAAAAAAATCATTATAGTGGGGTAATTTAAATAAGTAATAAATTATAATTTATATTAATTATTCAATACATTTAATGAAAATATAGATAATATATAAGTATGGCATTTCCTCCCACATTAACAAATATACATATATTTTGAATTTTATAATTAACGGATATTTTTTATGGTACAGGACATTCACATTTTTTAAACATCATTATTTATCTTTTGAGTATGAGATTATTTTTAAGTTGTTAATTTGTAGTACATAATGTATGAATTTATTTTATGAGGACACCGCACCCGCGTGTGTTATTTCTACTTTACATTCATACAGCATACCAAATTTTCATTTAGCAAAATCCATTTTATGTTGTCAGCTTTAATATTAGAGTAAATTTACCTATTATTAAACTTAAAGGTAAGAATTTTATTGATATTTTAATTTTAAATTGAATTATGGCTATGTGAAATATTAAAATTATAAAGTGCTGATATCAGCACTTAAAAATTATAATATTAATAAAAGCCTTAGCGATAGTCTACATAAAATTCTTACCTTTAAGTTTCATAATAGGTAAATTTACTCTAATATTAAAGCTAACAACATATAATGGATTCTGTTGAACAAAAATGTTGCTATGTTGTATGTATGTAAGACATTGTATGTAGATAACACATGTGGGTGCAGCGTCCTTTTAAAAATCAAAATAAAAAGTAATAAGTTTTGAGATAACTTAAGTATTGTTAATAACTCAATTAGTTTATTTATAACACTGTATGATCATAATTTTACAACTAAAATATATTGTTAGATATGACAAAGTTACCATTTTTACACTTTATCTCTTCCAAATTGGTTTAAGTTGTAAGCTTGGTCAATTCTGTTTTTGTTTTGGTTAATTTTATTTTGTCAACTTCCTCTACATTTATCAGATAACTATAATAGAAGCTTACACATATGATCATCATCACTTATGGTATTAGAAGGATTGCATATTTCTTTCAATTCATGATCAAATTCTGTACTTTTGTCATCTTTGATTTCTTCATTTGTTTTAGCAGTACATTTTAAACTTTTAGTTTCTTCAACATCTTTACTGTTTTCAGCTAAGGTTAATGTAATAGGATCAATATCTAAAATCTTAAGATCTCGTTTGGCAGTTCTTAAAACACTTCCACCCTAAACATGATTATAATATTTTTAATTTTTTAGTACATTATAACACAAAATAAAATAAATTTAACTCACTTGATCTCTCATTTTTATGCCAGCTTTATAAAATATAGTATCTTTGGAATTATATGCTAAACAGTTTGATATCATCAAGTTGAAATCATTCTCAAAAACTTCAAGACTAGTATACTCAGAGTTTTTTATTTTTAACTCCATTGTTAGTAAATCCATTGGATGTTTCACAATATCACCATAATCTGGGACTTCATTTTGATCAACAGGTTCAATAAAAATCTGTCCTGTATCTTTTACAATTAACTGCTGTAATACTGAATGTAAGAAAGCATGGAATGGCCACAAAGATTTTAATGTATACTGTTCATGTCTTAGGAAAAAACATAATATTATTAGACCAACTAACAAAATAAGTGTTTGAGAATATTTAATACTTACACTTTTATATTCTCTTTTTTCAGACGTTCACGTTTACGTATCAGTTCACAAAGTAAGCGAACTCTTTCTAAATCCTGCCGAAGAGCTTGCCAATATTTTAACTGTCGATATAATTCATTCTAAAAATTAATTCATTAAAACAATTTTAGACATAAAAATAAATCATTGTTTAGAATTGAGAAAAAAATTATTATTAATGTTGATATAAAATCTTTTAATCATGAAATTATTTTTTTATATTTATTATGTTCAATGTAATATAGAACTTACAAGATCATCTTCATTTCCATTTGATGTAATTGGCTCTTCGCGTCGTGATACATTAGAATGTTGGCTAGTTTGTAAACGTCTTAAAAGTGGAACACCATTTCTAAACTGCCTTTTTAATGTCCAATAAGCGATTAGTCGTTGAACAAACTGACCTTTCTTAGGCACAGATAGCAAATTAGCTATTTCAGTAACTCTAAACAAAATTGGAATATTTTAAGAAATTTAATAATGTATAAAATAATATACTACTCTATTTGACATAAGAATAACTTTAGGTGGCAGGATACAGTATAAGGCAGTGGCAATGAAAGCTGACAACAACAAACTAATTAGTGAAGAATGTATTCAAACCAAACACAAATTGTATGCCATCTGAGGTTACTGTCATATGTGATACACAACATAGAAATATTACCTTTCAGGTGGGATAGTAGGTATTGATATGACTGGAGCAGCAGAACGTTTTTTAGCTAAAACTCGTCTGGCATTATTTAATTTTTCTCCAGGAGATTGTCGTCCTCGGTTTTCAGCTAGATAATCTACTGGAGCATGTGCATCACAAAATGCAATTTTTTGAACTAAAACTGTACCTGGTTCAGCATCGCCTACAAATTGTAATGCAATTCACGTTATAATTTGTAAAATAAAAACTTTAAAAGTCATTAGGAAAAAAAATTAATGAAATATTACCAATATTAGAAATTTCATTAGATATAGTTTCCATTTTCATATATAAGCCAGCTTGTTGAGCACAAGTAACATGAAACGCAGCATAGCAACTTGTTTTGTGACATTGGATACATGCTCCTACACCACGTTGCTTACAAATATAACATGTGAGTTTCCATCTAGCAGTAGGAATTGTTTCAACACTATCTATTGGTTCTAAAAATACCTATAACACAAAGACACAAATTAAGTATGTAAACTCTTAATAAATTAATCAGTTCAATAAAATGTGTGACTCACTGTATTTGCAAATCTAACTTCTGGTATCCATAATGCACACACAACATGAGCCCATAAACCACGATCAGTTTGTTTAAATGCACCACAATTGTTGGGGCACAATACACAGTCAACCATACAGGATGGTGAATGAAGACATCGCCTTAATATAATAATTGTGAGTTATAATTAATATAAAACTTAATCTAAATTTTTTTCTTACCGACAGAGCCATTGTCCCTCAGGTATGTATGGAACACCATAACAGTCTTGGTGAACAGCAAGATTACACATATCACAAAAAAGAATAACGTTTGAATTTTGACATTCACCATCAAGACAAATAGAACAAACAGCTTCGTCATCAATGACTGCTAAACTACTATCAACTTCTTTGTTCATTTGCTAAATGAATAAATTAAATATCTATTTACAAGTACTTAAAATTGTGTTAAATTTTAATTGACATAATTATATAAGCAAACCACATACTACAAGAAAATAAGATTCTTTTTCTAAACGATCCATTAACAGTTCAAAAGATTCAATTGATATTCCTACTAAGCCTGATGATTCCCTGCGTTCATTCATAATTTGTAGCCAAGCGGCATCTTCTTCATCCATATCATATTCTACTTCTGTATCCAATTCTTCAACTGACTTTTCAATAAATCTAGAATAAATAAATTAATACATTTTCCAAATTTGTTTATAAAAATTTAATAGTAAATAATAAATCTTATTTGAAATGTACTAAAAGATACCTTATGTAAGAATTGGGCATAGGTGGAGCTTGAAGTATATCGTAATTGTCAATCTCTTTAAATGCAGCTTGCGGTAAGTCACGAACAGCTTCTCTACTTTTCATTAAAGAATTAATGATTGCAGTTGTCTAAAAATCAAAATATATTTGACACTTTTTAAATATAATTTTAATTAGATAAAACTTAGTACTTACCTTGGCGGGAATTTTAAAATCTTTTTTTTGATTTAAGTATTCTTTTTGTGATATTATTGGTAAATAATCTTCGGCATTAAATCGTATTACTTTGTGATCATTAACTTCAACTTCACATAAAGTTTTAGATAAATGAATAGGTGTTACAGGTTCTACAACTTCAGGTTGAGATACTCTTGAAAGAGTTGTAAATGTTACTCGTTTTCCTTTCTTTTTTTTACCTAAATTATTAAATTATTAGTTAATTGTTACAATTTATAATCATCTTTAAAATTTTTTAATTGATTTCTATTATTTGTATTACTTTTAGTTTTGTTGACAACTGGGGTAACAGTAGTTTGTTTGGTCGGTGTGACTATGTCTAATGGAGGTATTGGACTTGAATGTTGAATATGAGCAAGATGATACTGAAACCCAGTCATGCTTGAGTATACTTTGTCACAATCAGCTACTGGACATTTGTAAGGTGGTGGTTTTAAGCTACGTAGCTGACGGCAATATTGAAGTACATCAAAGTCTCCCATTTTTGTTTTTTGTTTTATACAACTTCATCAAATAGAATATAAAAAAAAAAAACAACACAATATTTATTAACATGCAAGGGCTAATGCCAGCATACAAAGGAGCCCACAGAAATATAAGTCAATGAGCAAAGAGCAAAGTTAAGTCAATATTACAATACACTATAATTCTTTTGTTTTTTTACAAATAATCAAAAATTAACATTAATTAAAACAACAGGAAGAAGCATAGGCCTCCAGCATTTCACTGTGGATATTCTCACTAGTATGGTAAACAAAAATCAAATAATTATATTGTTGTATAAATTGGATAATGAATAGAATAGTTATATTATAATAATAAGGTAACTTACCACTAAATATTTCTAATGGTAAACTATGTAGTCAAAAAACTATCACAACATATTACGCGAATATTTAAGTTAGTACTTTTAATGCAAAATAAACATCATTATATTATATTACACTAAATAGTTCTTTAAAAAATCGTTATAACACGCCACATTTCCATATTAGTTATTACTTGTATCATATTTAAATAACAAACATCATAATATTATCATGTATGTTATTAGTTATTATCACCGTAATCATTTAATCAATTGAAATTGGCGGTTAAATCACAGATAAGTATTATTGTCGATGGGTTTAACGCAGTTATTAATAAACATATTATTGTTATAATAATATTGTTGAAATATTAATAACTACTAACTAGTAAACAGTAAACAACTATGCCGGATTGAGTTGTTGTCTTGAAGAATGTCAAATCAACCATCAAGAAAATAAAATATGCACATTACAACAAATTACAATGTAGTGGTACTGCAAGTAGCAGCTGTACTGTATTACGTTTTTATTTATATAATAAGTACAGTTAAGTTGTTTTATTATCTTATTTAATTATAATAGTATTTACGTTTATTTATATGACTGTTCAACAATTGACAATGTATCATAATATTAGTATATTACACATTAATTCAGATTGCATTATTATAGCTTTACTTATCTTTATTACATAATACAAAAGTATACATGGTTTCAATTTATTATTTAAAGGTTTTTTTTCTGGGTTTTCTCCTTGATTATTTTAGCTACATACTTGCGTCTTGCATAAATATTCATTAGGCAAATATTTAATGAATCTATAATGACTATTAACATACTATGAAAAAAATTCATTCAGGAAAACTATTTTATTGCCCTCAGTTTTATTTCGTCTTAGATAAATTAAGTGATTTCTTTTAGAGTTTAAATACATGTTTATTTTTAAGTTTTCTAGAACATATTGCTCTGAAATTGGTGATAACTGATTACTAAACAAAATAACTCATTATTTGCGGTTGATAAAAACAGAATAAATAATTTAATAAAAAAAAAAAAAAAAAAAAATGAATATTATTCTTTATAATTTTCTCTTCTGCCATAAGTAAGAATGCGTAATAAATAATCAGAAATTCCTGCTAATTAATAATTAATTATTATTTTCAATTTAAAATGAATATTGAACAGTCCGCTGCGGCTTCAGACTGTGTACGCGAGATGGAAAACAACGCGATCTAGTAGTAAACTGAAAGCCTTTATATTACGTTATTTGAGAAAGTGTGCGAAAAACTAAATACAAATTGTTTTTTTAACTGTAAAAGTATCAATGAAAATGAATTTATTTAATAATAGCCACATTGAAAAATTATTAAATGAATAAATTAATATTGAAGATGATTTTTAATCATCTGCTTAATCTATATATTTAATTCACTTCTACCTACTTGAACAATCGTTTTCTTATGAAATTAAATTAGAAAAAATAAGATTCAAAGTTTCTTAATTAAATATTTTTGCAAACTAAAATAAGTTATAAGTAATTTAACAATTGAGTATGACTTTCAAAGCATAAATTCAAATTTTGTATTTTTAGATTTTTTAATAATAAGGGTTTAAAGTTGTATGAAAGTAATCGTGTCTTTGAGTGTACACAAGAGTTCAGACTTATTGAAGGATTTATTGTAATAACTGATTTTGTTGTCAGACAAACGAGTGTTTCTTCAGACCCATATAAAAGTAGAACTTGGGATAAATATATATATGTATATACTTGTACCTATATGTTGGAAATCAAAAAATTTAATTATGCATAGGTGATATATTACCTATTAAAATAATAATTCACACAAAATATTATGTATTATTTTCTACATAACTAAATTCTCAAATAAAAGTACTTCAAACTTAACTAATTTCACTTGTTTTTTAATAGTTAGCTAGTCATAAAAGTTTTAGTTAAATTGGTTTTCTTGAAATAGAAGTGTTAACACTTAGATTTTTTTTTAAATTATATTATTATGTATAATAATATTATACACGTTCATTTGTATTAGTATTATTTACTTATTATCTAAAATTCTAACCAATATAAAAAAGAGTTTTGTTTTTAATTTTTTTGGTTCGGTTGTGGAAACTCCTCCTCCGTAACTATGCCACTGATTAGAATTTAAAAAAATGCTTTGTGTCAATGTCTTGCTGAGACTGGATCCAAATGTTAAACACATAGTTGCTCTTATATTAAACGTTAATTTTAAAGAAGGAACTTTAAAAATGCACGAGTCTCAGCAATGGGGAAGACCTGCAAAGTATGGTGAAAGTTTAAATAAAAAAAAATATCAGATCTTTTTCCCGAGGATACGGTTGACTACAACCGTCATCGGCCGAATTAATGTTTAGCCGACGACAGACGAAAACGTCCAAAACAAATAAAAGTATGAAATAAAATAAAATTGAACCGGTCACATTACATCCGATAAATACGATCATAAACTACCGATGCTGGACGAAAACAAAACATTTTGATTTTTCGTCCGAATTGGCAATTTATCGAGATATATATATAGTTCGATTTAATTTATATGAAATTATGCCAATGTTTTCAAATTTATTTTTATTTTGGGAGTTTTGAAAACAAAAATAACGTTTTTAGAATTTATTATTATAATACTACATTTAATTATCTAGAAAGGTAAACGTATATTCAATATTGGTCTATTTGTAATACCGCATTTATATTCAGCTCAGTTCCTTGGCAGTGAGCAAAGAAGTGAGCAATAAGCATGAAAGTAGGTAGCACAAGTATGTAAACAGTAAACACGTCATTCGCTTTGATTGTGCTTCTTGTAGTGTCTGCTCAATGTTCTCGTCAAGAGCGGTAAATTGAGCAGCAACATAACTTACATAACCGACAACGGAGTAGCAGCGGCAGCGGCTGAATGTTAACGAAACAATTATTTGTCATTTGCTTTTCGTAATTTACCTCGATCGGTATGTAGAAGATAGTAGATACATATCATAAAATATTATAAACTTAGTATACAATTGATTTTGAATATTATTGTTTTATTTACAACATGATTGACTATGAAAAATTTAAAAATTTAGTATTTGAAAGAGGACCTTTATGGAACATCAAATCAAAATTTCACCATAACAGAGACGTTTGTAGAAAGTTGTGGAGTGATATATTAGTATAAATGGGAGTCAAAAGTATGTGAAAATATTTAGTTATATATAACGATTGTAATTTACAATATAATAGAATATATTATCATAAAATTTGTAAATTGTAATATTGTAAATATTTAAAAATTAAATAATTTAGTTATGGTAATATATAATTTATTTGTTATTTATTGAATATTAATAGGTACATTATTACATTTTATAATTTTTTTTTATTATCTGTTTTTAAAACTTATAGCATCAATACTATTAAAATATTAATTAAATCTTATGATAAAAGTTTCTTGTTTTGAATGATTGTTATATGTCTTGTTGTGTTACTAATGTGAATTAAATCTTGATTTGTTAAGTTCTGGTTCATTTGTGAAATTAATGCTTCATTCCTTTTTGGTCTGTAATAATATTATGAATCAAATAAATAGACTTAGTAGTCGTGTTAACATGATATAGATCAATTTGTATTTCAATTTTTAAACATCTCCATTTTAATACTAAAATACCAAAAGGACATTCGATTATTTGTCTAGCGCGACTTGGCCGGCAGCTAAAAATTTATTTTGTTTTGTCCAAATTATTATCAAAAGGATATAGTCTCATAAGATATTATTTTAAAGGGTATCCTTAATCAACCAATAACACTAATGGTATGGGAGAAGTTGAGTGAGGAAGTGGTTTTTTGGTCATAAATTAAATGTATTTTACTCCAAATGTTCATAATAAATATTATACGCTGTAAAAACTCCACTATCGTTTTGTTTTTCGTATGTTCCAACGTCAATAGCAATGAATTTGTATTTAGCATCGCATATTTTTGTAATTGGACGGAAAAATGTGCTTGTAATTAAAAAACATAGAGTCAATGTTCTTCGGACATTTGATACGAATATGTTTGTCATCAGTACAACCTACACAGAAAAGTTCCATTGCGTCTCAAAGTCTTAGGAAACTTTGTAAAACAAATTCGTTGTTGGGAATGACAAATAAAGTTTGCAAATAATATTGTATGTATCGTATATAATTTCTCAGTAAAATTGTATTATGAGCTATACGTAAAAAATGCTAATGATCTATATGATATCCCGGTTGAAAGAAATATACAATAAATGGAAATGATAAAATTAATTTTTAATCGGACACTAGATCAGTTTCTTAATTTATCCTAGAATCAAAACCGAAAGATGTGCACATCAGCAAATCAAAAAGCACATAAAATGAAAACACTAAGAAATATTTCTGAGTTATGTCAAAATAAATTAGAGATATCTTTATTAAATTATTTAAATGAAACTGTAACTGTAGAAAAAGAAGCTAGTAATATACATTATGAAATACAAGCTGAAGACAAGCATTTAATGCGTTTGGTAAAATAATTTTCCTTACAAATGAACTAATAATATTATCATTTATTTATTATTATTATCAGTAGAACATTATGCTTTGCCCCTGTGCTATTATGATTTTTGTCTTCCTAGAAAGCTAGTAGTACCAAAGCACGGAATCTATAGCCTACCGGGAAAAGCCCCTATACTTTGGCAGCAGGGTGTACCACTATAGTGTGTTATTGACCCTTAGACATGATTATTCCATTAAATAAATTTTTTTGTGTTTGTTGTAACTAGAAATTACTCTAACTACTAAGTTGTTAATCTTCAATTAAGTAAATTATATTCATCAGGATATTTTTATTAAGTATATACAATTATAGAATATTACACTAATATTACATAACAAAATATTATAATTTAATTTTATATTGTGTTTTCGAGTATCAAACACACATTAGATAAGTTTTTAAAAGGGGTAATTTACAAAATTTAAATTTTGCATTCAAAATGCGCATGATATTTTAGCATGATTAAAAATTCAGAATTAACAAAACATCTACATCTCGCAAAAATTAGACATGACATCATTGAGCAACCATTTTAGAATAACGTTTATATGGGGTTTAAGACTTAGTTTACAAATTCTGATTTTGTAGTTACAAATTAATATAAATTGGTT